TCACAGCTAATATCATCCTCAATGGGGAAATACTAAGAGCTTTCACCTAAGATCAGGAACACAACAAAAAGGTTCATTGTCACCACTATTATTCAGCATAGCGTTGGAAGTCCTAGCCTCAGCAATCAGAAAACAAGAAGAAATAAGAAGCAACCAAATCAGCAAGAAGGAAGTCAAACTTTCACTCTTCACAGATGACATGATAATCTAGGCAGAAAACCCAAAAGACTTCAACAAAAACTGCTAGAACTGATCCATGAATTCAGCTAAATCATAGAATATAACACCATGTACAGAAATTGGTTGCATTTCTATACACCAATAGTGAAGCAGTAGAATGGGAAATCAAGAAACCAGTCCTATCTATAATTACACCATAACCCATAAAATACCTAGGAATAAACCTAACCAAAGAGGTAAAAGATCTGTACACTGAAAAGTTTAGAAAGCCTATGAAAGAAATTGAAGAAGACACACACAAAAAAATGAAAAAACATTCCATGCTTATGGGTTGGAAGAACAAGTATCATTAAAACATCTATACTATCCAAAACAATCTATACATTCAATGCAATCTCTAACCAAGTAACACCAGCATTTTTTCAGAGTTAGAACAAACAATTCTAAAATTTGTATGGAACCAGAAAAGACCCCAAATAGCCAAAGCAATGTTGAAAAAGAAAATCAAAGCTAGAGGCATCACAATTCTGAACTTCAAGCTATATTATAAAGCTATAATCATAAAGGCAGTATGGTACTGGTACAAAAACAGAGATCAATGCAACAGAATAGAGAACCCAGAAATGGATCCATAAATGCATGGCCAATTCATTTTCAATGAAACAGAAAAAAATATCCAATGGAAAAAAAGACAGTCTCTTTAGTAAGTGATGCTGCGAAAACCGAATCGTGACATACAGAATGAAGCTGGACCACTTTCCTATACATACACAAAAATAAATTCAAAATGATTGGAAGACCCAAATGTGAGACAGAAACCATCAAAATCCTACAGGAGAAAGTAGGCAGCAATCTCTTTGACCACAGCGACTTCTTACAAGACAAGTCTCCGCAGGCAAGGGAAACAAAAGCAAAAATGAACTATTGGGACCTCCTCAAGATAAAAAGTTTCTGCACAGCAAAGGAAACAATCAACAAAACTAAAAGGCAACTGACAGAATGGGAGAAAATATTTGCAAATGACATATCAGATAAAGGGTTAGTATTCAAAATCTACAAAGAACTTATCAAACTCAACACCCAAAAAAACAAATAATCCAGTGAAGAAATGTGCAGAAGACATGAATAGACACATCTCCAAAGAAGACATCCAGATGGCGAACAGACACATGAAAAGATGCTCAACATCACTCATCATCAGGGAAATCAAAATCACAATGAAATGCCACTTCACACCTGTCCAAATGGCTAAAATTAACAACTTAGGCAAAGACCAATGTTGGGGAGGATATGGAGAAAGGGAAACTCTTTTGCAGTGTTGGTGGGAATGCAAACTGGTGTAGTTTTAGTCATTCTGAGAAACAATATGGAGGTTTCTCAAAAAATTAAAAGTAGAACTGCCTATAACCCAGCAATTGGACTACTAAGTACTTATCCAAAGGATACAAAAATGCTGATTCATAGGGGCACATGCATCCCAATGTTTATAGCGGTGTTATCAACAATAGCCAAAATATGGAAAGAGCCCAAATGTCCATCAACTGATAAATGTATAAAGAAGATGTGGACACACGCACACACACACACACACACACATATACACACAACAGAATATTATTCAATGATCAGAAAAGAATCAAACTGCATGGATGGAACTAGAGTGTATTATGCTAAGCAAAATAAATCGGTCAGAGAAAGACAAACATCATATGATTTCACTCATATATGGGATTTGAGAAACACAACAGATGAACATAGGGGAAGGAAAAGGAAAAATAAGATAAAAACAGAGAGGGAAGCAAGCCATAAGAGACTCTTAACAATAGAGAACAAATTGAGGGTCGCTGGAGGGGAAATGGTGGGGGAATGGGCTAGATGGAGGATGGGCATTAAAGAGGGCACTTGTTGGGATGACCAATGGGTATTATATGTAAGTGATGAATAACTGCATTCTACTGCTGAAACCAATACTGCACTGTGTTAACTAACTTGAATTTAAATAAATAATTTTAAAAAATAAGATTTGTGTTGCAACTGCAATATGATACAAAAATATGTATAATTTGGGGCACCTGGGTAGCTCAGTCAGTTATGCATCTGACTTCGGCTCAGGTCATGATCTCACAGTTCGTGGGGTCGAACCCTGTGTTGGGCTCTGTGCTGACAGCTAGCTTAGAGTCTGGAGCCTGCTTCAGATTCTGTATTTCCCTCTCTCTTTGACCCTCCCCTACTCATGTAGCCTCTCTCTCTCTTTCAGAAATAAATAAAACATTAAAAAAATAAAAATAAAAATAATGTATAATTTGTATGGTTGACAAAATCATGAGAACTATTAATACCACGGTGGTTTGTTGCTTTACATCCCTGTAATTGTAGAAAATTCTAAATTCTAGTTAGAATTTAATGAAAATAGAAATGTAATTTTTATCATTCAAGTTTAGATGAGAAGCCTGGATATCATGAAAACTATCCACTGGGAGCTGTCCTTTTCGTGACAGGACACTTTCCTGAATTAGAGGACTTTCCTCAGTCTGGTGGAGGTTTACCTTGATGGTTGGGTCAGAGGTTGTGCCAGAAATGGAAACAAAAAGAAAACAGAAAGAAAACCTGATGGATAAAGTTGAATCCTGACACAGTGGTTTTAAAGAGTAGAATAAGTGATTCAGAGAAAAACCTCCCCAATTGTATCATGAACCACTACAGCTGCCTCCTTGATTCCTTTAAGATATAAATTTGATGTAATATAATGTTTCTTTGCATCACCAGTCCTAGATTTAAAGTTTTGAAGAAATACTTTAACAGTGTGTGTTGGAATTGATTCTATTTTATTGGATGATATGTAACTAAGGAGAAAAAAGCATAAAAATATAAAAAGATTAGGTTTAAAATAATATGTAGAGGTAGAGTACACATAGAATATATGCTTTCAGAAAATAAAACTATAAAGATAATAAGGCCACCTCATCAAGATATTTGATACAAATAATTTACATCTCTGAATTAGAAACCAAAAAAGTGGAACAGAATCCATTTTTAAATCTGTAATAATAGAAACATTCCTTGAATGGAAGAATCAAATCCTCACTTTTAAAGACCTCAATGGCAAACAATCAAAATTATAAAAAGAAAACAGCACCCAGGCTGGCATAATGACTGGTTTTCATTAAGTAGCAATTGTAAAAACATTTAAGGGGAAATAAACTAATTATTTTTAAAGGGTTATTTAACAACACCAACAAACAAAATAAGGGTAACCTCAGTTTTTGAACTTTGAATATCAGTATCCACTTCTCAAGAGTCATGATGTTAAAACTGTGAGTCAAAAAATCTAATCCAATCCTACCTGCTATACATGTTTTCTACTTAGGAACAGAGTTAAGTCCTTATAAATGCTAAGTTTCATTTAAGAAGAAAGAAGAAATTACTAATGGAAGTGATTTAGCAAATCAAGAGAAGAAACAAAACACAATTCAATGAGAGGAAAGTCATCATTTAAAAGGATTTTTAGTGAGTGATGAAACCATTAAAGAATTTTCTAATTAAAGTAGTTGATTATGTTTATGCATCCAAATACCAGATGACACATCCTAAAATGTGTATGTATGTGCATGTATAGATACATGTAATAATATATTTATTATTTAGATATATATGTAATAAAACCATAGAGCACTAGAAAAATATAGTAGAATTTTTAGAAATTGCAAAAAGAAAGTAAAGGAATTTAGGTGAACAGAAACAGAGTAAATTGTAGCTCAAAGCATCAAAAGTAAATGCTATTCTTTCTTGGGAAGTCTAGCAAAGAACCAGCAAGTTTAAAAAAAAAAAAAAAAAAAAGCCCAAACATTAGATGTAGATGCCATTTTTTCTTGGGAAGCCATCAGAGAGTCTGAACTTGGGACAGATGGTTTGTTCAGGCCCATCCCCAACCGCATCCCCATCCCTTGTGTATTCAGAGCAATAGTGGGCTTTGTCTTGGACAAAGATCCAAGAACTGCTCTCTAGATGCAGTGAGGGTTGCAAGAGCCTGAGGAGTAGAATGGAGGCTAACTGCAGATACCAACAGTAGATGAGACAAAGGAGGATCAAGGAAAGAACATGGAGGAAAAGCAGCTCTCTCAGGAAGTAAATTCAATGAAGAGCTCTCTCCTGGGCCAAGTACTCTTCACCATGGTGACTGGAGGTGAGAATTCCCCACCCTGGCTGCTTTCCATGCCAAAGTCCTAGAGGCAGGTCTCTCTGTCTACTGATAGAGCTCACAGCCAGATGTCCCATCTGGAGAGGAATCGGTAGGTACAAGTGCAAAAACACACAAAGAAAACCCATACAAGTTCATTCAAGTCAGCCTAATCCCACATTCAACAAGGGTCTCATATCCTGAAGAAAAAACAGCACAATGAAATAAAAGACAAGGTGAAAAGCAAATCAATCAAACTCGAAAGAAATAGAGATGATTCAAAGAACAGAATTGAATCTACAAAAATAATCTAAGGCCGATTTTTAGAGTTTGATGAGGATCTCATATCTATGCACTAAGTCAAAGATGTTATCAAAATAGGATAGTCATAAAGCAAGAAAATATGGGAAATTAAAATAAGATTACAAACTTAAAATTTGAGGAAATCTTTTTGTATGTCAGGTAGAAGCATAAGGATGTAGAAAATATGATTAAAAAGTTGTTAGAGACCTTGAAGATTAATATTGTAGATTCAATATTTACAGAACAAGAATCCCAAGAAAAGAGAAAAAAGGCAATGAAATCTAATGTACTACAAAATACAAGCTCAGAAGAGGAGAGCAAGATGCGTAATGTTACCTACGGAAGACCACTGTGGAGTCATCACAGTCAGGGGGGGCCCATCCTTCTTTGCACTGACACTGGAGTTCGTGGTCACACACCTAGATGATCAGTGATCCTGTTAGTTTCCTCGCTAGGCTGACCACCAACCCAAGGGGCCTGTTCATCCCTTCAGAAGAAGGACTAACCCCTGCTCTGCACACATCCAACTATCTACATAACATATGAATCCACCATAGAAATGTCAATACCAAGTTCTTGGAAGAAACTTTTTTCATTGAACCAAACTTCTGAGCAGTTAGGCAAACTTAGTATCATTTAATGCTGAAACGTTACTTTAGCATCATCCAGACTGACCTGAATTTACAGAAGATTCAGCGAACTTGGGGAAACATTTTCAAAACTTACAGCATGTCCTTTGCACTTGGAGGAGCAATTAGTTGATTTGTAGGCTCTTTCGATATCCACGCATTCTGCATTAATGCAGACCTGAAAGTGGTGTGGAAAACATCGAGTTCACATCAATCCCCAGTGGCTTCAGTTCTGCAAATTGCTCAGTCTTTGGAATTTACTCTTATATTACTAGCCACTACTATTGTCATCAAAGTTGCCTTTTTAAGAATTTTTAAAATTATGTTTATTTATTTTGAAAGAGAGAGAGCGCAAGTGGGGGAGGGGCGGAGAGAGAGGGAGTCACAGAATCTGAAGCAGGCTCCATGCTCCAAGCTATCAGCACAGAGCCCGATGAAGGGCTTGAACCCACAAGCCATGAGATCATGACGTGAGCCGAAGTCGGACGCTTGACCGACTGAGCTACCCAGGCACCCCCCAACTAACCTTTTTATTAAGGCAATCACAACATTCTTTTGAAAATAAGAAGATGGGATCTAGATAATACTGATTTTAAAAAATTTAGAAAGTTCTCTAAAGAATATTTGCTTATTTCATTTCATTCCTCATGGGTCATTCTGTTAATCTACTTCAGTCCACTCCTGAGATTAATATTTAGCACTGAGCAAAGCATTGCACGTGATACAAGGCACCCATTCCACACAAAAATATTATGGAGAACATGTTAATATCATATCATCTGGAAAGTAAAGTAATTATCATTTATGTAAAAATCAATAGTATTTTTATTATTCTCTTTATTATTATCAGAATGGCTTATAATTTATTGAGATGCTACTGATTTGGGGGCAATAAAATTTACCTAGGTTTAATGATCTAGTACTAAGCACATGATAGTTACTTCTTAAATAATATGAAGGGAGGAAGACAAGCATGCATAAATGAATGGCGTAAGTACTGCTTTTAAAACTGTCCTCCATGGAACAGAAGGAAGCCATGAGAAGCAAACAACACAAAAAACAAGACATAAGAACATTTTGATTAAAAGCTACAATTCCAACTTACTTTCCTGTTTCCACACTTAGTTCCATTAGCTACCATGCCTATTTCTTGACTGCTGTCTTCTGGATCAAATGTTTTACATGTCAGGAATGTTATTATATGTCCTCTCCAGAGCACATTATCTGACCCACCTTGACAGAACAACTTCCCACACATGGCATCACTGAGGAAAAGCCAAAATTTTCTGCAGTTAAAATACGAGGATCCAAATTGCAGGTTTATACAAATGTAACACATCTCCCTGACTATCAATATTTAATGAATGGTATTTCTCCCTATAGCAGAGATTCCTGGTTCTCCTTTATATCAAATTTCCCCTTGTTCTTCAATAATAGAAATACCAAATATTAATAAGGCACATTGTTGCTCAAAAACAAAACAAAACAAAACAAAACAAACCCCTGATTTCCCAGATTCCCAGGCAACTAATTTTGGCCAATTGCCTAAGTTCTGGCCAAAGGGAAGAAAGCAGACTCTTTACGTGCAAATTCTTGAAGGTGTCCTTACATCAAGGAATGTGTCCTATTCCTTTTTTTTTTTTTTTTTTTTTGGCATATTGGAATGTAATGGCTGGAGGTGGAGAAATCATGACAGGCCAAAAAAAACCACTTGGGAATGAAGGTCATTTTCAAGATAAAAGGAGAATGGACTTGTAACATCATGGAGTTCACAAAGAGAGTCAGTTTCTATCTTGTTTCAGCTAAGATACTTTTTTTTACATTTATTAATTTATTTGGAGAGAGACAGAGACAGTATGAGCAGGGGAGGGGCAGAGAGAGAGAGAGAGAGAGAATCCCAAGCAGGCTCTGAGCTATCAGCACAGTACTGGATGAGGGGCTTGAACTCACAAACCGCGAGATCATGACCTGAGCAGAAACCAAGAGTCAGACGCTTAATGGACTGAGCCATCCAGGCATCCTAAGGTTACTTTTTACTTTTATGAATTGCACAGAATAATTTTCCCAACTGTAGCTGTGTCTATCTAAGGCTGAGCCTTGAGTGACATTCAGTAAAACTATTCACTTACTCCCAAAGTGAATAAAGTCAACACCAATAAAATTCGAGTCAATTGCTTTGGGCAGAATTCAGAGGAAGTCTCAAAGAAACGATTCTGAGAGTGACAGAATCAGATTCTTCTGAGGCTTCTGGTGGCTGTTAGGAAATGTGACAGAGGAGTGGAGAAAGGTATCCATTCTCTCCAAAACTGAGAAGGTGTCTTCTTGAGTCACTTTATACAGAAGGCTCTAGAGCACAGAGAATTTCAGGCTTACTCTCCACTGCAGTTAATGACTATTCAAAAGTGACCAGGACATCAGGTCATGGAATGAATGACACATTTGTGCCTCTAGTTGCAGAAATGACCTGGGACCCATACAGTTATACAGGACAATAGTGTGTGTACATGCTACATAGGGGAATGGAGCTACTCTGCTCCCTTTCCCACTCACTATCTCACAAACCGCATACTGGTCTCCCCAAAACATATACACATTTCCTTTTACATAACTGTTTTCCCTTTAGAATCCGTCCTGATTTCTTATAAAGAAGAGACCACAGGATATTATTATCCTTTAGGCTCAGACCCCCAAGAGATAATACTACGTCATCGAGTTTGGTAATATTTATCATCTAGAACAACTATTGTTTAATAGAAAAGCTTTGAGAAATGTTAACCTTGTTCAATCTCTTGCTTGGTATGAATTACTTAGTATGTATAAAATCTGGAGCAGGTACTAAGTTTAATCTATGCTAATTTAAATTTTAAAAGTCATCTTAAAATTTTGGAATAAAAAAATCTAATACAAAAATCTCAAGTCCTGGGGCACCTGGGTGGTTAAGCGTCAGGCTCTTGATTTTGGCTCAGGTCATGATCTCGCGGTTCATGAGTTTGAGACCCACGTCAGGGATGCCCATTGATTATGACATTCTAGAACTTTCCCCAGAATATCAATACAAAAAGTAAAACAAATTCTTCAGGTGAATTGTCAATCTTTTCTCTTACCGTATTTTTTGTTTCTGTAATACCACAGCAAGTTTAAATAAAACTATATAAGCATTATATTGGTTATTCCTCTGTGTAGATCAATATCTCTGCTCCTTGAATCATAATGAAAGACCTAGATGGAAAAGCACCTAAGGAATACTGGAAAAACCATGAATAATAGATTTCCAGCCAGGCCTACTCACTGCTGCATGCCTCATCCAAACATTCACTCTACGTAACAATTGTACTCAATGTCATCTGAAGCACCTGCCAGAGGGACTGGAAAAAAGAGATCATTTCTTATTTGTCTTTTAAAACTCAGTCCCTAGCCTAAAACCATAGCACATAATAGTCACCCAATGAATGCGTATCAAATGGATGATGTCTAAGTTCACTTTGTCTTTAATTGGAATGAATCAGAATGTGCCTCTGGGAGAGAGTGATTTCCCTAATCTGTGGAGCAGGAAGATTCAAACAACAGGGCCACTTACGCTGCTTTGCAGGGAATGTGTGTGTCGTCCACTTTGCGACAGTACCCATACCTTGACCCACCTTCATTCTTGCTGTAACACGATTTATCTGCAACGTTGGTCCCTGGAACCAGGCATGGTCAGCAGGGACATATTAGAAAATAAAAGAGAGAAGAGGTTCAGTACTACGAAGCATTCATGAGATACAAAATTAATGAAATCTATAGCATGAGGAGTACTATTAGGGCATACTCCCATTGACCGTTGTCAGAAATACAGGCTGCAATAATTTGTTATTAAGAAAGCTGGTTAGAATTTAAAATAATCTTTTAAGTATTTAATTTCTGAATAATGGTCATCTAAATATGTGGAAATATGGCTGACTTGCTGTAGATTAAGAAAAATCCATCTAAATATGAAGATTAATTAAGAGAGCCACAATCATTATATTAACAGCCCACAGACATCGGAATGCTCTCCTGGTAATATTTGCTACTGTTACCATTTCTTACAATGCTTAGTCAAACTGTTTTGTGCATCACACATTTCATTTCTCATCTAATCTTTCAGCTCCATCAGATGAGCAATAGAATACAGTGGTTCAGGGCTCAGGAGCTAAGTTGCTGCTGTGTGACCTTGGCCAAGTACCTTAACCTTTGGGTTTTTCTGTAACTCAAATAATTTTAAACGACCTTCATGTTTCAATGTCCAAGGTGATAAAATAAGTTTTATTACCGTATTTTCTTAATCGTTTGGTCTTAGTAACATTTATAGGCTCCTTGTTATTTAATAAAATATCTAGCCTGAAAAAAGTGAATAATTAGACATGGATAATAAGGAAAAGCAAATTCCTAATCCCAAGCTTCAGAGCTCTTGCTGCTAATATTGTGGAATATATCATTCATACACTTCCCAATTAACAATATACTTGTCCTTTCCCCAGTCACTATATATTCTTCAGTATCATGTCTAAAAACTTGCATTGGATAAATACTATATAATTTATTTTGACTAATGCTTATTCTTGGACTTTGAGATGTTTCCCAATTATCCATTATGATTTTTTAAAGTGCTAGCTGAAAATCATTTATAAACAAATATTCCTGAATACAATTGCTAGGGAAAGGAGTGCATTGTCTTTTTAGATTGTACACATATTTTTCCAATTCTTCCTGGGAAGACTATGTTAACTCATGTTCTTACCAGACTATAAAACTAGGTATTTTATCACTGCTTTACTGACACTGAGCCTCCTTTGCCAATTTGTCAAATGTCGAAGGAATCAACTTTTCATTCATATTTCTTACTATAGTTAGGTATCCTGACACATGAATGTGTCAGTACTTCATATTTCTTGCTAGTGAGTTAAAATGATTTTCATGTTCTTTAGATGTTTGTCCTTCTTTATGACAAATTGCATGTTAATGCCCGGGTCACATTTTTAATACTTGGAACTGCAACTGATTTATAGAAATGATTTGATATTGGGGCACCTGGGTGGCTCAGTCAGCTGAGTGTCCAACTTTGGCTCAGGTCATGATCTCATGCTTCGTGGGTTTGAGCCCTGCATCAGGCTCTGTGCTGCCGGCTAGCTCAGAGCCTGGAGCCTGCTTCAGATTCTGTATCTCCCTCTCTCTCTGACCCTCCCCTGCTCATGCTGTCTCTCTCTCTCTCAGAAATAATAAATGAAATATTAAAAATTTTTAAAAAAAGAAATAATTTGATATTGAATAGTGATCTCAAGACCTCCTTATTTTGCTATAGACTTTTCAAACTTTAAAAATTAATTTGAAATAAATTGATGAGCCCTTATGAATTACAAAATTTGGAGTTTTATTTAGCCAAATCTGCTTCTCTGGTCTTTTATAAGGGCTGCTTCTAAATGTGTTATTTAAAGATCTTCCCTGTTCCAATATCAGATAAATATATTCCACATTGGGTCAATAATTTTGAACATTTACTAAAGTCAGAGAGTGTGTTAGGACCTACTGGGAACACAGCTGTGAACAAAATACATGGTGTCCAGGTACTGGGAAATTTACAGATTTGTAGGGGAGGCAGATAGCAAAGGGTCAGGCAAAAGGACCATGTAAAAGTATTTATTGCAGAGATTTATCACCAGATACTAAAGGGGATTCTCAGACCTTCACCTGTGTGCTGAAGTTTCCTTTCCCAGGTTTCTGTTATATACTGAAGTGAGTCAAGGAAGCCATCTTTCTTTATTTAACCTGCAAAATCATCTCTGTGTCCATCTGTAATTTAGCATTTGCGTCTGCCTGACCTGTAGTCAGGAGGCTTGCTGAGGCCAGATTCCAGGGGTCAGCGCATTTCCTGATGTACCAGTCTTATCAAGCATTCTCAAACTGTGTCTCAGCCCCCCTTGCCTGATCCAAAGGGTTTTGTTTAGGAGTTTTTCTAAGTTCTAGTCCATGTATTTCCCAGGTTTCTTTTTCTTTTTCTTTTTCTTTTTTTTTTTACTGAATATATTGTAAATCAGTGATTGCTGTTGCTTTCCTTTACCTTGTTTTATGTATATTTTTAGGGATTATGAAAAGTTGTGGCATGTGACAGCCCTCTTCAAGTATTTTTAGGAATATGTATTTTCTGTTTAAAAAAGTCTTTCAGCCACTTAGGTAAGAATCTGGAGGTGTTGCAGAGGAGGGTATGAAAATTAAATATACAGGCACAATGGACATTATATGCAGGATGTCCAAAGAATTTATATCTTTAAAATTGTCTTTCTGATCAGTCTGTTTGGCACAGCTAAAGTTTTAATTTATAGTTTTGGAGATTGTTAATTTATGCTTTTATTTTCAGCTTATTTTTTATGGTGTAATCAGAGACTATGTCTTCTAAAATCCCGGTATTATGGACAAAATGAACATTTAAGAGATTTTGGCTCTCCCAAATTGCTCCTCTGCATTCCCACAGCCCTTCTTTCTTTTCTCTCCCTTTCCTTGTACTCTGCCCATCTCCCAGCACCCTTGCCACCTCTACACACACACACACACACACACACACACACACACACACACACACTTCTAGGGGGGTACTCATCTGAGAAGGATCTTGAGTAGGGTTTCCAGATAAAGTACATGATATCCAGCTAAATTTTTTTCTTTAAGTTTTTATTTAATTCCAGGTAGTTAACATACTTGTCTTATTAGTTTCAGGTATACAATATAGTGATTCAACACGTCCATACAACACCTGGTTCTCATCACAAGTGTGCTCCTTAATCTCTATCACTTATATTACTCATGCCCCCCCCCACCTCCCCTCTGGTAACCATCAGTTTATTCTCTTTAGTTAAGAGTCTGTTTCTTGGTTCATCTCCTTTTTTTTCTTTTTATTTTGTTTCTTAAATTCCACATGTGAGTGTGCTTGCTGCAGCAGCACATATATTAAAATTAGAACGATACAGAGATTCACATGGCTCCTGTATATGGAACATGTAAATTCCACATATGAGTGAAATCATATGGTATTTGTCTTTCTCTGAATGACTTATTTCACTTAGCATTATACTCTCTAGCCCCATCCATATTGTTGTAAATGGAAAGGTTGCATTTTTTGATGGCTAGGTAATATTCCACTGTGTTTGTGTATACATATGTGTGTGTGTATACACATACATATATATGTATATATATTTTTATATATAAAACAACATGTGTTGTTGATTTTAGCTATTCTGACAGGTATGAGGTCATTATAATTTTTGATTTGTCTTTCCCTGATGATGAGTGATGTTAAGATCTTTTCGTGTGTCTGTTGGCCATCTGGATGTCTGTTTTGGAAAAAAAAGTCTATCCATGTCTTCTACCCATGTTTTAATCGGATTATTCATTTTTTGGGTGTTGAGTTTTATAAGTTCTTTATGTATTTTGGATATTAACCTTTTATCAGATATGCCATTTCCAAATATCTTCTCTCATTCCGGTGATTCCCTTTTAGTTTTGTTGATTGCTTCCTTCTTTATGCAGAAGCTTTTTATTTTGATGAGGTCCCAACAGTTTATTTTTGCCTTTGTTTCCCTTACTTCCAGAGACTTATCTAGAAAGAAGCCACTACAGCCAGTGTCAGAGGGGTTACTGCCTGTGTTCTCCTCTAGGATTTTTATGGTTTCAAGTCTCACATTTAGACTTTTAATTCATTTTGAATTTATTTTTTGTGTATGATGTAAGAAAGTGGTCCAGTTTCATTCTTTTGCATGTTGCTATCCAGTTCTCCAGTTCTCCCAGTTCTACCATTTGTTGAAGAGACTGTCTTTATCCCATTGGATATTCCTTCCTGCTTTACTCAGTTAAATTTGAATTTCAGATAAACCAAGTTTTCTTAGTATAAGTCTACTTCAAATATTTCATGAGACATATTGATGCTAAAAAACATTATTAATCTGAAATTAAAATTTAACTGGGCCCTCCTTATTTTTATTTGCTGAATCTAGCAATCCCCAAATTGACCATATGTCTTAAAAATGCACTTACCCAGATTTCTGAGCAGATGCACCATTTCTAAGAAAGCAGATTGGGACAGAAGATTACTTTGGCCATGATTAAACACTGCTGCCCATTATAATATGATTTTTCCTTGTGTGTGCAGAAAGGGAGGCAGGAATGACAGCAACATAGGGCCTGCAATCTTACCTGGTCCCCACAGGTCGGCACACTGCTCCTGAAGCGTGGGGCACACCCCCATCAAACAGTAGCCCTTCCCATTCTGACAAGGGAAGCCATTGACTCGGAATCTATCATCAGGGCAAATACCAGATTTACCGTCACACATTTCCGGCAGGTCACACTCATCTTTTGCTGGTCTGCACACTGCACCAGGCTTTTTAAACTGCAGGGAAATAAATGGGAAGAGAAGTTTGGTTTTTTTTTCCCCACCTGACTTACCTTAATATCTCAAATTAATTCAAATAATATTTTCCTTTTGGCCTTTTTTGGGGCAAGGTAGTTGCCTTTCAGCAAGATAGAATGATGCTATTCTTCTACATTTGCTTACATTTGCACTTTATAAGCTAAAGACATCTCCTATTATATCACTTCTATTGACTTTGCCCAAAGGCCTGAGTCTTTAAGTAATCAATATTTCTGAATTTGTAGTGCAACCATATAGAAATATCAATGAGAAAAATACAGAAGAAAATCAAGCCTCATCTTAAATGCAAAGAAGGAATTTACTTTTTCCTTTACCAAATGCATCTTTGTCAAGATTTTCAAGATTTAAACCTGCAACTTCAGAGATTTATTGGTGAAGTGAATCTTCTGTATTAAAGAAAATAAGTTTATGAGCACCAGCTCAGCACACTCTGAGACTTTCCCAGGCGTCACATTTCCTAACGTGAATGAATTCCTTTAATTGTATGCTCAAATATTTCTTTTCAACTCACTTCTTCCTACGAAGTGAATTATTGCGGAGAAGAAATAGCCTGATGCACATTTGATGTGTTAACTGCATCACAGTCTATTACTGCAAATCTTGCCCTTGCTTCCTCAGAGACATCTTGGCCAAGCCGATTCTGCCATTGATGCAAATCTTAGGAAGGCTGCGTGGACACTGCAGGCGTATCTTTCCCTAGGTGACCTGAGCAGGCGTGCTTCCCTATCATCAGAAAACTTACAATATCTTTACGCTGATGACAGAATGGAATCCAAAGTTTAATAGAAGCATACAAGACCCTCCAAATTCAACCCCCACTGCTCCAGCCAGACTAGCTTTCTTCCCAGCTGTCACATGAGACATGCTTATACCTCCTGTTCCATCTTTATTCTTTCCCACAGCCTCTTCTTCTGGGAACATTTTCTTTCTGTTGGCTATCTAAAAATCTACACACTACTTTCAGACTAGTGACAGTCTCATTTTCCATGTAGCCTCCTCTGACTTCCTCAGTGCACACTGCCATCCTTCCTTTCTGCACAGGGTGGGAAGAGATTTACATTTGGATTTGGAAGATATGGGTTTGGATCTTGGCTCTGCCAGGGGCTGGGTGCTGGAAACGGACTTCATCACTCTGAAAACCCAATTCCCTTTTGAATATTGGCTTTACAGAGTCATTCTGAAAGTTAAGTGAAAACAAGTTGCACAAAGGGCGTATATCTTCATAATGTTTACCTGGGCATTGAATCATACATGGTATTTTTATCTGTTTCAGGTATGTATGTCATTACCCTCAAGAAACAGCATGTTCTTTGAAGTCAGAGACTACTTTGTTTTTTCAATCTTCCACAGTCTCTATCAAATAGCACTTACTAAATACTTTTTGAATACTATTTATGTTCTCATGTTTTCTTCCTTTTGGCCTCCTTTATTTCTTTCCTTTCCCTCTGATATTAAAAGATACCAATCTCTCCCCAATACTACCCACAATTTGGTACATTATCATTCTACACATTCCTTCCATGAACAGTTTTTGAGCATTTAAAATGTATGAAACTCTGTGCTAGGTGAGGACAAATCAGTCCCCTGTTCTTAGGAGTCAATCTAACTAAGGAAATAGACACACAAACAAATAATCATAATAGAGAATCTTATGCAACAATAGAGTGTAAAATTCTAAACTTGAACCTAAAAGGAAAGGCAACAAGCCCCACAGAGAATATGACACAGAATCCTCACTTTTTGTCAGTTTTCTAAGAATTTCACCCTGAATGACTTCCAGGTTTCAAGATAGGGGAAACTTCAAATTATTTAAAATAAAAGCTTTTACACAAAGCTGTTATTAAAGAAATATGCAACCAATTAAGAGGTTTGGTGCAAGAAGGTCCTTGGATCAGAAGCAGTGGCAGGTGGGAACAGCATTGGCATTGGAACTGATCGTACTTGGAGTTTGCCAATTCAGTGACCCTATTATTTTGCACATTCTCTATTCTGAGCCTCTGTTCCCTCAAAAGCAAAATGAGATGATAATATCTAATTCAAAGGGTTGTTGGGACCTGTGTTTGTAAAGCACACATTTATAAATGGTAGGCAGCCTTACTCTGTAGACAGAAAACTAGACCTCTGTTATTTCACTCAACGTAATCTTGGAGATTTTTAATATAGAAAAATAAACAGTATTTATAACTATTAAAATAGAATGAAATAATAATCTTACCTGGCACTTTTCACAGCATTCTCCTAATGCACACTGAAAACTTGCTTTGATTTTACAAGTTTTAGCATCACAGCAAATGTTGGTACATTCCTAAGAAATGCCAGAAACAAATGTGAAATGCTGGTTTTGGCCTCAAATTTTTGCTCTCATTTCATACAAATTCATAATATAATTTTTTCATCACACAAACCCTACTTTGGTACACTCGAAATATAATTTTCAGGAGAATAAAAAAAACAAAAGAACAAAGTTTAACATTAGAAAACCAGATTTTGGAGCCACTGGTGATTTGTTATGACCTGAATGTTACTGACACCTTCTTTCTTTAATTTGAATGTCTCTTCTAGTTTGCTCAACCTCCCATGATTGTACTGAAGATGGTCTACTTTTGGTAAAATTTGAGTGAAAACAAAAGGGAAAAGAACAGTCTTTTAAAATAAAATTTATCTGAATAATTAAAAACATAATTAGTTGAACTCATCAGCTTTGCACCCACCCAGCAGTTAATTTAATCTCTAGGGCATATACTATAGAGCTAAAAGTATTGTTCTTTATCCCATTTTGACACTCAAGCCAACTCTGTGTTAAGCGATAGACTTTGTCTTGCTCTCCCCACCTTGCTTCTAAGAAATCAGGCACCTGTGTGAGGCTTTGGGGAAATTCCTACTTCAGAAAATTTCTCTTAGAGCTGCTTAGTATCCCTAAGATACATTTAGAGTTACAACTTTTTAGGGTTAAAACTCTCACCCTTATTTCAAATATACACACCATCTTGGAAAGATTCTGCTTTCTTACAGAATGAATACATTTGTGGTGGTCATATTTTAAGTTACTGAAGAGCTGACTCCTCGAGGGGTTGAACGTCACTCATAATAAGTGTTAATAAAATGGGGGCAAGGGTCCCATTCATAACCCTGGTTGTCATATCAAGAGGGATCAAGCCAGAAGTACTAATGGTAAAAACTCTTAAGCCACAAAGGAAAGAACTAAATCCCAGTGCAGGGTGGTTTTGGGATTGCGGAAACAAACACTTGGGTCCATACCTCGGCTCCTCCCTTCACCAGCTCTGCGACCCTGGGCAAGCTATTTACACTTTCTGAGCAAGATCACAGTGCTGTGCCTAAGGTAACTGCTCAGTAGGTCATAGGCACATAGGAACCATTAAATATTTCTGCCAGAAAGGGAAGGAAGAAGATACAAAACTCTGTTGTTGATTGTTCTTAACAAAAAAAAAAAAAAAAGGGAATGGAGAAGGAACCCCAAGAAGGAAATTAGGAAGGTTTTTAAGCAATGAAGCTTAAAACAATGCAGCATTGTTAGAAAGTCTGGCCTGAACATATGAGAAATTATAGAAACACACAATTTCAGAGTGAACCTGCTTAATACAGGTTTACGGTTTTTTTAGCAATTAAAAAACATACTAGATCATTTTAGAAAGTACTTAGTTGGAGGCACATGGGTGGCTCATTTGGATAAACATCTGACTCTTGATTTTGACTCAGGTCTCACAAACTGTGAGATCAAGCCCTATGTTGGGATCCATGCTGATAGTGCGGAGCCTGCCTGGAATTCTCTCTCTCTGTCTCTCTCTCTACTCCTCCCCCACTCATGCTCTTTCTCTCAAAATAAATAAATAAATAAACATTAAAAAAAAAAAACACAACATAAAGTACTTGATGGTACCTCGGGAGTCCCACAATCACAGTCCTCTCCCATTTCTACCAACTGGTTCCCACAGATTGGGGTAGATACGATATCTGTAGGCAATGGAACATTGAAGAGGCAATTTGATAATTTATCTTCAAAGAACTTATCATAGCTGACGCGGCTACAGGAACTGAAGTCTGTAGGAATATAGAAGCTGTGAAGACACAGAAAAAAGAGAATGGAACACAGTCATGCTGAGCATGAAGGGCACAATGTCACACACTATGGATGATATACCCCCAAACCTGCCTCAAAAGATGAAATCCAATCCAGTGTCCAATTGCTAAATCATGAGCTCATTCGTGTGCTTGAATTAGCCCTTCCAGATGGACACAAACACATCTTGCTTTTTTTTTTAATTTTTAATGTTTTTTTTAATTTTTGAGACAGAAAGAGACATAGCACAAGTGGAGGAGGGGAAGACAGAGAAGGAGACACAGAATCTGAAACAGTCTCCATGTTCTGAGCTGTCAGCACAGAACCCTACGAGGGACTCAAACCCATGAACCGCGAGATCATGACCTGAGCTGAAGTTGGACGCTCAGCTGACCGACCCACCCATGTGTCCCCAAATACCTCCAGCTTTAATGAAAAAATGTGGTCAGATCTTAAAGATTAAAAAAAAAAAAAAGATGCTACTGACTTATCCAGATAATCTTATTCAGCTTTAGGTCATTTTGGTTGTGAAGTCTTAAAGGTAGTAAAGTCATGTTTGTTTATATGTCTAAGAATTCATTTCCTTCAGAGGAATCACGTTTTTAAAAAAGTTTATTTACTCTGAGAGAGAGAGTTCATGCATGCTCATGCACCAGAGGGGGAAGGTCAGAGAGAGAGGGAGAGAGAGAATCCCAAGCAGGCTCCACATTGTCTGTGCAGAGCCTGACTCAAGGCTCTGCCTCACAGACTGAGATTATGACCTGAGCCTAAATCAGGATGTGGACACTTAACCAATTAAGTCATATGAGCGTTCCAGATGAATTACTTTTGACAGAATGTCTTCATTTCACAAATAAAGACGAGGTTTAAGAATGAAGTAGTATCTGGGGGAGATGTTGCCATAATGCTATTTTATGGAACCCTACATTGAGTGAGCTGGGAAAGGGAAGTAGAAGAGAGGAAATACATATATGAAAGGGACTGTGGGATTTTTAAGGATAAAATTCCAAGGCAACTTTACTTAGACAAGGCAGGAATGCATAATCTCTTCATTCTCCTGTAAGAACATTCTTCTCTAATTAGATTTCTCCCCTAGAACTTTTTCCCTACCACTGCCCAATCTGAATTTATTGAGAATTTGATAAATACCAATTATTTTATGGAACCAGGTGTAATGTAGATAATATGAATTTAAAAATGTCAAGTCACCCTAACAGCAATGATATAATATGTTTAAACCATGTCTTAGTTAATGGAAAAAATTGCATATAGATGAGGGATAAGGTGGCTTAGTATAGGTATTCATTCATGAGTATACTATTTGATACTGGAAAGCCTGAATGTATTGCCAAAGACATAAAAGAATAGCACAGTTCAGAGTGAACCAAAAACAGGGATATAAAGCGTCTTTCCAAAAAGCCTCACCTTAGTGCTCTGTCCATCACACATATTGTAGAAGGGCACTTGCAAACATAGGAGTCATGAAACATTCCAAAGTTATGGCCCATTTCATGGGCCATTGTTCCTGCTACTCTAAGCACATTGTCACTGTGGTCCTAAGGGCAAGAATAGGGAAACAGATCCTCTGGTTTGTAAAAGAAATGATCACTCAGGGTATAATTAAATAGTTCTTGTATGTGGGGTCGATAGAATGATTTTAGCTTCAGATTTTTCACTAATCCCCATCTCCCTTTCTCTCCCCACCTTTTCCTCTCCCCCTGCTCTCTCTCTCTCTCTCTCTCTCTCACACACACACACACACACACGAACACACACACACACACACACAACTTCGGTACTGAATGCCCATCACAGGGCACACTGCTTGCCCTTTATTCTTGTAAATGGGAAATATTTACAATGAGAAACATTTTTGTAGCCGCCTGCCATGAGAAGTAGTGGTAAAATGTCTTCAAAAATGATAGAGAATCAGAATTGTTTAAAACTGATCCATCTCCTTCCCCTTGGCTTGTTTTTCAATACCTTCTAATTTGACTGAAGGTCTTGGATATGTTTAGCCTCTAGGGATCCAAAAGTTTTTGTTAACCTAGGACTTTAGTACCATTGGTAGCTCTCTCAATCCTGTTACTGTTAAGCTAGATATCAGTCAGTTCTAGACTTGCCCCATTGAATGAAGTCCAGCCAGTAGCCAACTTCATGACCAGATTATTTCTGATTTGAAGTGTTGGACTGGGAGCTCCAGGTTTTTCAAGAGCAATAAAACATCACTAGAGAATCATTGAAGGTTTTAATTTCCCACAGAGGAGACAGAAATCTGCCAATCACAGCCACCCGCAGACACCTGATTTCCTTATCTACTTCATGTCAAAGAACCAAATAAGGAGATCCATCCATAAGGCATGGTACAAGACAGGCAAACAAGGAGCACCTGTGTGAGATGAGAAGTTCATACTTACAATTCATGATATTGTATCATTCTGTCAAGATAAACCTGGTAAACCTTGGTATTTAGTAAGATGAGGACAAAAACAAACCAAAAAAATTACGAAAAATGTAAAAGTGTTTAGACTTTCCAGATTGCCTTATTTTAGGTCCCTTTAAACTTATAGTCTCTTCCTTAAATAATTATTCTCATAACTGAAATGTTTCTTTCCTTTGGAATGAACTCCATTCTCTCTTCCCCCTTTCTAAATCCTACCCACCCTTTGAAGTTTATTTTAAAGGAAGTTTTCCTGACCACATTAAGTTTCATCAATGACTCTCTCCTCTGGATTCCTACTACAATTTTCAATTCTACTATCATATAATATTAAATATTGCTTATGTAGTCCAGTTTCTCTTCCAATTTTATGGTAAACTCTTTCAAGTTAGAAAATGCATTCTTTACTTCCTCTGTTCATCTCATGAAGCTTATCACAAACCCAGACTCATAGGATATAATAGAGAGATATATATAAATATATTTCAGTTCCACCTAGAATGAAGAAAGCTGGGAAGAGCATTATTCCTGTACTAACAAAAAGGACTAGCCAGATAAACTTAATTATAATTGTCCTTGAATCTATCAGTCAATTGTGGTTACAGGACATGCACAGAAACTGAAACCTAAAAATAGGCCCTCCAAGGACAGATGGAACTGATGTATCTCTAGCAAAGCATAGAGGAGATGCCAGGTATCCTACAAGTGGGGAAATAATTCATTTAACTTCTTAAATGAGTTGCTAAAGGCCTAGGATGGGCCAGTGTCAGAGTATAGAATCTGTAGAACCTCTGAAACAAGGGGGCTTTGCACATAGTTAGAGAGTCTTCTCCAAGGACCTCCTCTTGGAGCTCATGGCACACATGAGCCAGGTAGTAGAACAGAAAGAGTTTGTCTTGGGGAAGCAGTCCAGAAGGAGTAAAGTAGAAACTGCTGTAAGAAAAAGAGCATGAAACCATATCCAGACCCTTCTCCTTTAATGAACAGAAGCCTAAAGTCACTGGGGAGGAAATAGTAATCTCTGACAACCTAAGGTAGAACTGAAGACCCAACATGGCTAAGGAATAGGTTTAAACACACACACACACACACACACACACACCCTCTACTCCTGACACAAGAGACAATGCTCTTGAGCTGAGCCCAGGATCCTATATTAATATTAACTGATGTTTCCTCCTACTGAGGGAGGGTCCCAAAACTATTCCTCAAAAGATCTGCAAAAAATAGAAAGCAAAATTTTACTGCTGTGGGAAGGATGGAAAAAAATCCCTAAGAAAGTTTTGCTTTTGAGACCCAGGACCTGCCTAAGATGAAAACCAGACAAAGTCAAAAGAGAACTCCCATCTCTGTTCCTTACCACCACATTGTAGAAAGCTGGAAAGAGCATCACTCCCAAACTTACAATAAATAAAGACCCTGGACCATCAATTCACAATTTTCTAGAACTCATCCAGAGCTGAGGTCGCAAGGCAACAAACAAAATGAAATCTAAGGAAAGGTAGGCTGGTGAGTACAGGGAAAGTCAGGACATGAATACCTGTTTACCCGGAACAGACATTGCCAGATGCCAGTAATAACTCATATAAAATAATCTTAAAACTCAGAAAGTTAAAGTGTGTGTGGTACAGTAAGAAAATACACAAAATGTGGGCACTTCAGACATAGGTGGGAATTCCCACCTATTCATGGGTTTTTCTCCACACAGACTTCACCAAGTGAAAGCTCTGAGAAAGTCTTCCCCATAGTGTGGGCTTGGGGGAGAGGAATAGAAAAAGCATGAAATAACTCTAAGATCATTCTCCTCTCTCTGTTTTGGAGTAAACATGATGAGGTTCAGGGTGAACTGAATGTCTCACTTGCCTTACTCTAGTCCTAGACCTAAACCAAGGGCTTAAGCTTCTGGGAGAAAAAGGAACAAATCCTATAACCTAGGGCACTGGTAAAGTCTCAGTGCAACTATAAAAAAGGAACAGGAAGGAAAATAAAACACACCAAAAGCTTCTACCCCTAGGAGGAAGGAGAAGGAAGGGCAGGAATACATGCTGGGCTATGTCAATTAGAGGTCTCTGCCACCTGGCAGTGGAGCAGGAGCACTAAAAGGATGTACACTACAGGACACAGGACCTATCAAAGACTGAGGCTTAGCAAAAACAGAAGAAAATGCCCTCTGCCCACCAAAAATCTACCCATCATCCAGTAACAAATAACAACAACCTATTGAGAGGAGAGAGCCTACAGCAAAAAGAGACTCTCTGGGGGATCCAGTAAAGACCTAAAGATGAGTAGGAAGCACTCATTGAGAAAAACTCTCTGAAAAACCAGCCTTCCCCCTAAACACAAAATAATGTGACAGGAATTTAAAGCCTGTGCTGAACTGAGCATAGTCATAGCAACAACAAAATCCCAAACCCAACTCACCTCCTGCTAGGTTGATTCAAACCTTACTCAAGAAGCCTAGGAGATGGAAAGAAGTGATCATTTCCAGTTGAGGAAAAATTACACACACACATGTACACGTACACACCCCTCAGATAATGCCTTTCACAGGATGTCTGACTTTCAACAAAAACAAAAAGAATAAAGCATCAGAAAGAAAGAAAGAAAGAAAGAAAGAAAGAAAGAAAGAAAGAAAGAGAGAGGAAGGAAGGAAGGAAGGAAGGAAGGAAGGAAGGAAGGAAGGAAGGAAGAGAAAGCCCTACCCTGTCAATCAACATATCCAGACTCATATCTGACACAGATGTTAGAACTATGAGGTGATACTTTAGAATAACTATGATTCATATGGAAGAAGCTCCAGTAGAAAGGATGAATAGCACACAAGTCTGGTTGAGAAATTTCAACAGAGCTGGGCACCATAAGAAAAACACAAATGGAAATACTAGAAATGAAAAAGACGGTAACTGAGATGAATGATATTTTCAACAAGCTTAACAGTAGATTTGGAATAGCTGAGAAAATAATCACGGGACTTAACAGTTCAACAAAAATTACCCAAATGAAAACACAAAGTGAAAAAAGGATAAAAAAGAAAACAAACAGCAGAACTGAGCATTTACAAGTTTTAAGGAGCAGTATAGAATCATCACAGATATAGGAATTTGTGTCCCTGGAAGAAAAAAGGAGAATAAAATAGAAGAAATATTTGAAGAAGTAATGGCCCAGAATTTTTCAAAATTAATCACAGATACAAGCCCCAGGTCCAACAGGTCTGAAGGAATATTGAAGAAAGCTGAAGGAATACTAAGTGTGATATATTACCCATTTCTCTCAAACTCCACTCAGCTATACCACAATTATAATTGAACAGAAGAAAATTAAAAAGAAAGGGAAAATCTTGAAGTACAAAACAAACAGATACATTTCAGAGCAACACAGATCAAGTTTACAGTAGACTTCTCATCAGGAACTCCATAATCCAGCAGGCAGTGAAGTGAAATTATTAGAAGTACTGAAAGAAAAAAACATTATTAACCCAGAATTATAAACCCAGTGAAAATATATACAAAAAATAAAGATAAAGTCATCTGAAAGAAACGAAAAATTTCATTGACAGCACAGCATATTACAGGAAATATTTTTTAAAAATCTTTGAGAAGAAATAAAAAAATATTACGCCAGCTAGAAACTACAAAGAAATAGAGACTGCTGAGAATGAAATAAAGGTGAGTGTATATAAAGATAAGATAAACATAATAACTATTTTTATTTTATTTTATTATTTTTAAATGCTTGCTTATTTATTTTGAGAGGGAAAGAGAAAGACGGAAAGAGAGAACCCCAAGCAGGCTCCATGCTGTCAACACAGAGCCCAACAGAGGGCTCAGTCTTACAAACCATGACAACATGACCTGAGCCTAAATCAAGTGTTGGGTACTTAACCAACTAAGCCACCCAGGTGTTCCAATTTTTTTCTTATTTTAAATTGCGCTGAAAGCTGTCTAATAAAAATTAGTAACAGTACATTGTGTATTTATAATATATGTAAAGTTAAACATATGATAAAAATAGCACAAAAAATGGAAGGGAGTAATTAGAGGTATACTCTTGTAACATCCTTATACTACAAGTGATGCAGCTTAGTATTATTTCAATGTTAAAAAAAACAACAAATGAAGGTATATAATAAACCAGGGCAACCATTAAAAATAAGCAAACAAAGGTTAACAGTGAAAAGCCAATAATGAAAGTAAAAGAAATTATTTTTAAAAACCTTCAATCCTAAAGAGGGCAGAAAAAATAGACTAGATGGAATAGAAAACAACTAGAAAAAAATTGAAGCTTTTAGTCTAACAATATCAACAATTATGTTACACATAAGTGACTTAAACATATGAAATAAAAGACAGAGATCATTGGGTTAGATAAAAAGTAAAACCCAACTATATACCAGAAACTTTTAAATATAGATAAAATATATGCTAAAAGTAAAAATAAGGAAAAGGTTGCATCAAGCAAATTTAACCACAAAATGTTGGAGTCACTCTAACGATATCAGACAAAGCAGACTTCAGAACAGGAATATTTCAGGAAAAAAAGAGGAACATCAAATAACAATGGATTAATTCTCCAAAAAGACATGACAACTCTATTTGTGTATTTGCTTAACAATAGAGTTTCAGGATACATGAAGTAAAAACTTGTAGAACTGAAAGAAGAAATAGACAAATGTACAATTATACTTGGATACTTAACCACTCTATTAAACTATTCAACAGAACTGAATAGTGTAAGTTAACTTGGCATAATTACCAGTTATGGAATGCTCCATTCAGTAATAGCAGAAGATATTCTTTTTCAAGTTCATATGCAGTATTGACCAAGAGCAAACCTCAAAAAATTTTTAAATATTGAAATTCTACTAAGTATGCTCCAGACTATTAGGAACTGAATTGTGGCCAACCCCTACACTCTTATTCATGTATTGAAATCTTAACTCTCAACGTGACTGTATTTGGAGAAAGGGCCTCTAAGGTTAAAGGAGAATATACTGGTGGGCCCCTAATCCAATAAGACTGAAGAGGAAGGGATGTGTGCACAGAAGAAAAGCCATGTGAGGGCAGAGCAAGAAGGTGGCCATCTGCAAACCAATGTGGGAAACCTCAGGAGAAACCAAACCTACCAACACCTAGATATTGGATTTTTAGCCTCCAGAATTCTTACAAAATACATTTCTGTTGTTTGAGCCATACAGCCTGGGGTATTTTGTTATGGAAGCCCTATCAAATGAATATACAGATCATAATATAATGAAACTTAAAAAAATCATAATAGTAATAATTATACTATACTTCTAAATAGTACATTAGTCAAAAAAGAGATAAAAAAGAGTTAGAAAATATTTTTAACTGAATGAAAATGAAAACACACATATCCAAATATCACAGATGCAGTCAAGCAGTGCATGGTAGGGAATTTATGCACTAAATGTTTATATTTGAAAAAGAGAAAAGCCTCAAATGAATAATCTAACACTGTTCCTTAGGTAATAGAAAAGAATAACAAAGCAGAGAAAGCAAAAGAAATTCAATAATCAAGACAAGAACAAAAATGAATGAAACTGAAAGCAAGAAAACCAGAGAGAACGTTAATAAAGCAAAAGCTGTTTCTTTGAAATCAATGAAATTAATAAGTCTTTAGTGAGTTCATAAGAAAAAGACAAATTGTTGGGGCGCCTGGGTGGCTTAGTCGGTTAAGCGTCCGACTTTCGCTTAGGTCACGATCTCGCGGTTTGTGGGTTCGGGCCCCGCGTCGGGCTCTGTGCTGACTGCCAGCTCGGAGCCTGGAGCCTGTTTCATTCTGTGATTCCCTCTCTCTCTGACCCTCCCCTGTTCACGCTGTCTGTCTCTCTCTCTCTCCTAAAAATAAATAAAAAACATTTAAAAAAAAAAAAAAAGAAAAAGACAAATTGCTAATATCATGAATGAGAGAGGACATTGCTACAAATTCTACAGATATAAAAAAAGGATAATAAAGGACTATCATCAACAAATTTAAGCCAACTTAAATAAGATAAACACTTTCCTTAAAGACAAAAATTACCCTCATTTGAGAAAAGATCAATAACCTGAATCGGCCTGTATCTATGGCAGAAATTATATTTGTAGTTAAAAATCTTTCCATAAAGAAATGCCAGACCCATATAGTTTTACTGATGAATCGTACCAAACATTTTAGTAAGGAATAATACCAATTTTACTAAAACATCCCAGAAAACTGAAGATTTGGGAACATATCATTTTATTTGGCCAGATTTACCCTGATATTTATCCTAATAACAAAACCTGAAAAACAAAAAACAAGAAAAGACAACTACAGGCTAATATCCCTCAGGATTAACAGAATATAGAAATCATCAAGATATGTTAGTGTGTTGAATCCAGCAACATATGAAAAAGATAATACCTTATGGTTATGCTTGGTTTATACTGGATATGCAAGATAGTTTCAACATTTGAAGTTCAATCCATGTTATTTGTCATATCAACAACAACAAATAAAAACCTACATGATTCAGAAAAATTAGCATTTGACAGACTTCAACTGCAGAACCAACTATTTATCTTCAAACAAACCTGAACAATGCCCACAGAATGATAAGGAGAGCACATTGTAGACATGAAGGCAAGGCCCACAGTTGTGCCAGAAAGTTTTGTTGCTCTGCAAAGAAGAAAAGAATTGATATGACAATGTGTGATTCTAAACGATATTTTCTATAGAAAATTCATCCAGAACTCTAAATGGTTAACAGAGAAAACTCACATTGTGAATAGTAACTCTTAAACACTTCCTTCGATTTTTGAATTTGCTTTAGGCATTGTTTTTAATGTGCAATGGTTGTCATATCACCTTGTTATATACAAGCACCTGGATATAATCATTTTTAATATTTGATATCTCTCATTCACAATTTTATAGTTTTTGTTGTGGAATTCATCTCCTGGCATGAAATAAACAGGACTATTTTTATCATTATATGTGTGTGTGTGTGTGTGTGTGTGTGTACACATTTGAATATTAGTATTATCACATATGTTTGTTTTAATTTATATTTTACTCTCATATATTTTTGTATCGTTTACTTTTGTTCACTTTTAGCACTGTTTTAAGCTATAGTGGGATATGGAATTTGGGCCCCTTCTGAATGTATTTGCCTTATGAAGCATTTATGCTATTGAAATACTTGTTAAAAGGAATTTAAGTTATTTACATTTATTTGCAGAGATGATTGGTTTGGTTTTAGTAAACCAAAGAAAGTAAAAGAAAGAAATTTTAATTTCTTTCTTTTTTTTTTTTTAGTCCTGTTCATTTTGTTTTTCTTTCAATTTTCAATGACTCCATGTGCTGCCTTTGTTATTACTCTGTGATCTGTTCAAGATCCTGACTCTGGTTTATCTCTAGTAATTTTCAAAGAATGTATTACTTTAAAAATCTCCTTAGTAGATGCATTTACATAAAAAGTTGAACTTATATTTCCCACTTATCATAATCAAGAATGGAGAGTACTGATTTTGCCATGCAAAATAAGAAAAATTAGAGAATTTCTTTCCACTTTACACTTCTTTTGGAAAATTTTCAGGTATCTTTTATTTTGAAATGGCATTTTGCATAATAGATGATATTTTTAAAGATTCATGGCATTTATATCCTTTTTAAAAATCATGTTATAAAATTAGTTATACTTGAGTTTGCATTGAAGTGGGTTCAATTCTCACTACCAACTCATTTATAATAAATAAATCTTCCCCCATTATGGAGTTAGCTACTTTGGTTCCTCTTTTAGTGGGTAGATTATAGATCTACCGCAAGCTTCTTACCTTGTTATGCCTAGGTATAGACATAACTTTTTGTTAATTTGTTGGGTATATTTATGAATGAAAGGACAATTATTTCTTTCCATCATATCTTCTTAGTACTTTTATCCTGTTTATTCTAGTCTAGTCAGGAAATCTACTCTTCATATTGGATTGCCAATTTACTATTACTATTTACTATTACAAATTACTATTTACTATTTTTTTTAAATTTTTTATGTTTTTATTCTACTTGGAGAGACAGAGACAGAGCAAGCGGGGAAGGGGCAGGGAGAGAGGGAGACACAGAATCTGAAGCAGGCGCCAGGCTCTGAGCTGTCAGCACAGAGCCCGACGTGGGGCTCGAACCCACGGACTGTGAGATCATGACCTGATCCAAAGTCAGACGTTTAACCAACTGAGCCAACCAGGCGCCCCTGAATTGCCATTTATATCTATCCATTTGTCATCTTGTCTATGATTTTTATCTCTCTACCCTATTGGTTCAAAGTATGGGAATTTACTACAATTTGAGCATGGCCCTGGAGGCAGTCTGGTAAGAGTTAAATTACCTTACTACTTATGAGCTGTGAGTCCTTGAAAAAAAAAAATCACTAAATTTCTCCAAACAAAAAAAACTCACCCTGCAGTGAGCCCTTGAGTCTGGAACTCACCTTTCAAAATTAAAGAAGTATGGTAGGTATTCTTCATATATAACCCCCAATGCGCCTTCCTATCGAGTGTAGTACCTTCCCTTGAATAAGCATAGATCTATGACTTGCTCTTGACCAACAGAATATACCAGAAGTGACACTGTAATTTCTAAGATTTGGTCCTGAAAAGACTTAATGCTTTCTCTTGGTCCTCCTACAATACTTCTTCTAGATGAAAGCTAGTCTCCTGGTAAGACGTCCAGACCCAAAGTTATATATAACTTTCAAGTGGCTAACTTGAAAAAAAAAAGTTAGCCACTTGAAAGTTATATAACCAGAGATAACCAAACAGTCCCTGTGCTACAGTCCTACCATGCAAGGAACCAGATACATAAATTCACACTTATTTTAAATCAAGGAGTTGTGGGCTGATGTGCCATGTGTAGTAAACAACCAACACAGAATATTAATTCATTCTGGCAGGACCTAGTCCACTCATTTCCTATGACACCTACTGTCTTCTTAGAAAGTAACACTTGAATAATTTTAAATACTCATTGCTGTTTTCTTCTGTCTGATTCCAGCAGCAAACTATTCCAGGCATATTCATATGCTAATATGCTTAACAGTTTTGTGTAATTTATAGTCACTAGATTTATCCCCCCCCCCTTTTTTATTAGTCATTTCAGCAGGATAGTAGAGGTGTGGAATTAGAATATAATATGCAATTTTTTTCCATCCTAGAAGTTTGTCCTCGGGACACCTGGGTGGCTCAGTCAGTTAAGCATCCACCTTTAGCTCAGGTCATGATCTCACGGTCAGTGAGTTGGAGTCCCGCATCGGGTTCTGTGCTAACATCTCAGAGCCTGGATCCGGCTTTAAATTCTGTTTCCCTCTTTCTCTGCTCCTCTCCTACCTGCGCTTTGTCTCTCTCTATCTCTCAAGAATGAATAAGAGTTAAAAAAAAAAAAAAAAAAAGAAGTTTGTCCTCACTAGGACTTAAAATCAGTCAGGACTTTTAAAATGTTGAATCAAAATTTCTCTTGCTATTATCTAAATTTGTCTTTCCTGGGGCGCCTGGGTGGCTTAGTCGGTTGAGCGTCCGACTTTCGCTTAGGTCATGGTCTCGCGGTTCGTGGGTTCGAGCCCCGCTCGGGCTCTGTGCTGACTGCCAGCTCGGAGCCTGGAGCCTGTTTCAGTCTGTGACTTCCTCTCTCTCTGACCCTCCCCTGCTCTCGCTGTCTCTCTCTCTCCTAGAAATAAGTAAAAATATTTAAGAAAAAATAAATTTGTCTTTCCTTTCTGTTTACCCAATCAAAACAGATAAATTTCTGGTGAATCATTATTAAATTGTTAGCTTTTCTTTAAAAAAAAAAAAAAAGAAAATGAAACACTTATAACAAAAGTTAAAGCATATTCAACATAAGATTCAATTGAATCTTTTACCCCCTTTGTGTAAGCCACTTCCTCTTACCCCATAGCCCAAGATACCACTTGCTTTGCCAAGGATTTGGAAAGTTTCCACGCTAAATACCATTTAACATACAAAGGGGAAACTCTATACATACGTGATTAACTGAGCGATATCATGATGCTTTCTTCTTGGAAGGATACTTCCCCTCCATTTAGAAAAATTTTCCAAGGTGAAGCTTGCATTTGGGGTTATCTTTATTTTATCTTCGTCATTCCAGATTTCTATACCAACTAGGGCCACATGAGTATTCAGCTTTTTATAAAGCTGTCCAAAGAGAATAAATGTCAAAGAAATGACATAGTGATATTATCTTTCAATATTTTCAATGTACTTTAGATTTTCAAACCTATTTCTCACCGCACTGTAAAAACTTTTTTCCCAAACCTACTTGTGAAATGGAAGTTACCACCTCTTTTCACAGATGCTAGCATCCCCATTCTCAGGCATGGCAGACACCCTTAGGTATTTCAGGTCTGGAAACTCCTTGCCACCTCAAGACAGATTATAATTTTCTGTTAGTAGCTCACAACTATGACTTCAATGTAAATGTAACGACTCAAATGCTTTGCATTGTTTCCAGAGTCAGCACATTCCAGAATTAGCAAGGTTGACTCGGTGATGGTTTGGACATGGGAAAAGGAACGTGCTATATGAAAAAGTCCTGCATCTATGAGTCACAATCAAGTGGTCCTCTAAATCTTAAAACCGGATGAACCAAACAACCAATGATGCATATAGGATAACCTTTAGCAATAATTAATTAAGCTTATAAGACAATATACTTACTATAAAAACAAAAGTTTAAATTGCTATTATAGTTTATATAACTGCATAGTGTTGGTAAGAGTACAAACTTTCACTTATAATATGAACACATTCTGGGGATCTAATGTGTATAGCTTGGTAGTTATAGTTAATACCATATAATATACTTTAACATTAGTGAGAGTAATTCTTAAATGTTCTCACCACAAAAAAAGCAATGGCAATTATGTGACTCTAACTTATGGTGGAAATTGTTTTGCAGTATTATGAGTATATCAAATCAATACACTGAACACCTAAACTCACACAATGTGATATACCAATTATATCTCGATTAAGCTGGCGATGGGAAAACACATGGGGACAGGCTTCCTCATGGGGCAACTTTCTGCTGAGAAAACAATAAAAGCATTGAGGAATGCACTAATCATCAAAAGAAAAGTCAAACTCTGGGGCGCCTGGGTGGCTCAGCTTGGTTAAGCTTCAGACTGGCTCAGGTCATGATCTCACGGTTTGTGAGTTCGAGCCCCACGTTCAGGCTCTATGCTCACAGCTCAGAGCCTGGAGACTGCTTTGGATTCGGTGTCTCCCCCTTTCTCCATGTCACTTCCCTGCTCTCTCTCTGTCTCAAAAATAAACATTAAAAAAAATTTTTTTAAGTCAAAATCTAACCAGATTAAAACCATCCCCTTGATTATTCCCTCAACTTCCCTATCCTATTCCTGTTTTATGTTACTCACCTGACAAAACTCCAATCCTGGTGAAAGCCATTCCTCCCTAGCACCATGTCCCCGAACACAGCCAGGAGACAGTGCGCTTACGCTGACTGCTTTCACTTGGAAGCCATCATGCCAACCTCGAGTGGTACTTTACCAGTCTCCAGCAAACCTGCTGCATTTCCACAACCCATATACTCCCAGACACCTCTGCATGTTTTTTTCAAACTCACTTTTCTTTCTTAGAAATTCTGCCACTTCCTATTAAAACCTCACTTTGAGGGGTGCCTGGGTGGCTCAGTCGGTTGAATGTCTGAGTTTGGCTTCGGTCATGGTCTCACGGTTCATGGTATTGAAGCCCCGGGTTTGGGCTCTGTGCTGACAGCTCAGAGCCTGGAGCCTCCTTCAGATTTTGTGTCTCCCTCTCTCTCTGCACTTCCCCTGCTCTCACTCTCTCTTTTTTCTTGAAAGTAAATAAACATTAACAAATTTTTTTAAAAAAGGTATTAAAACCTCACTTTGAGCAGATACCCCTGCTTCCAAACTCAGAGTATAGAGGCAATCAAAAGAGAACTGACTACCTATTGACCTATACCTTTTCAAACAACCTGTGTCTCCCCTTCTTTAATATACGGGTGAATGCTGAGCCAAAGGCCAACTTCTCCACTCATGCACTAGATCTCCAATGTCTCCCCAGATCAAGGAGATGATTCCAGCAATTCTTCCATTTCCCTTGCGTTGTCTATGCTTAGCCTTCCACAGACTCATTCCCATCAGCATAGAAAAGATGACCCATCACAGTGGGGGATATAACTTTATGACCATTCTGCCTGTCACATATGCCCCATTTCTCTGCTTCTATTTATAGCGAAATTTTTGAAGAGAATTTTCTGTATCTGCTATCTCTAATTCCACTTCCTGTTCTCCCTGGGCTCGCTCTAATCATGCCACAGAAATTTCCTTCATCCAGGTGGCCAGTAACTTCTACTCTGTTAAATCCAATGGCCAATCCTCAGTCCTCAGAAGCATCTAACATCATTGATCATCTCTTCCTTTGGTTGTGTTTTGTTTCAAGCAGCTTCCAGAACAACACTATCGCCTGGTTTTCCTCGAAGCTCTTTTGTCTGCACTATACTGGACTCTATCAGCTTCTCCTGTACTCTGACCTCTCCTTGAAGAGGCACCTCATGGATCTGTTCTTAGGTCTCTTTTCTACTTCTCTACCCCATTCCTTTGGCTACCTTACACTAAGGTTGGTAACCTTATTCCATAAAGGTCCAGATAGAAAATGTTTCAAGCTTCGAGGCTGCGTGGTGTCTGCTGTAACTGGCACTGTGGCAGGAAAGCAGCCATAGATAATACATAAACAAATGGTGTGTGTTTCAATAGAACTATTTTATAAAAAGGCCGTATGCCAAATTTGGCCCACGGGCTACAGTTTGCTGACCCATGTCTTATGCCATTCTGTATGTGCATTTAGAGGCACCTGGGTGGCTCAGTCATTTAAGTGTCTGACTCTTGATTTCCGCTCAGATTTTGGCCTCATGGTTCATGAGTTCAAGCCCTGCATCAGGCTCTGCACTTACAGTATGGACCCTGCTTGGGATTCTCTCTCTCTCTCCCTCTTTCTCTGCCCCTCTCTTGCTCATGTGTGTTCTCTCTCTCTCAAATAAATGAATAAATAAATAAATAAATAAATAAACTTAAAAAAAGAGACTCTTAGATTTATATCTCCACCCCGACCTTGTCCTTGAACTTCATTCAATCAATCTTATATATCTAGCATTTTCACCTGGGTACTTTTTTTTTCTTTTCTTTTCTTTTTTTTTTTTTTTTTTGTTTTTGAATCTTCTCTTTAATCCTTAATGATCCACTGGCACATACAATGATATAACATGGCACAAAGTAGGTGCTAGACACATGGGGGGCATTGTCAATATGGACATGTCTACCCCTGACACATCTATAAACTTCCTAGTATTATTTCTCTGATTTTTGAAATGTAGAGTCTCCAATATTTTCATATTTTAAATATTTTAAATATAAAAATGTAACATGAAACATGTACATATTTTTATAAAGTACTTAGTACTTAGTCACAAAACACATTTAATAAAAATGAGCAATCCACCATCCATTGTCACCTCCACTAAGAAATAATTTTTTTTCCAATATAATTGACATATGACATTATATTCATTTTAGGTATACAACATAATGACTTGTCCCTGGAAATCTTTATACAACAAGATATCTCAAAATGTATGTGTACAAAATGGAGACACTAATCTTCCCTCTAATTTACTATAGCCAATATGTTACCCATTCTTAAAGTTGCTCGGGTCAAAATCCTTGATGTAACTTCATCTATTCCTTTTCTTACACTTCTCACCTGTCATCTACTTCATGTACTCCGTTGACTCTATTCAGAGATCACCTAGTCTCAATAGATCCACTACCACTGCTTTCTCTCAAACCACCATCATCTCTTGCCCTGAACTAGGGAACAATCCCCTATCTGGTCTTATTTCTGCCAATTGCTTTCAGTGTATTTTTAACATAATGGCCAAGATAATTTTTTAAGAAACACATCTGAACATGTTACACCTCAGCTCAGTCCTCCAATGTGTTCCTCCCCCATGAAGAACAACAAAGTCCTTACATAGGTCTGCCAGGACCTGCAGGGTCCAGCCACCGATGTCTGTCAGATGTCATCTGCTCCCACCCCTGCTGTGGCTTACTGTATGCCGCCCACAATGGCCTTCCCACTGTTCTTTAAACATGACAATTAGGTTCTCTCCTCAGAACCTCACTCTTCCTTGCACATCCTCCTCTAGGGTCAGATGCTTCTCCCCTTCCTTTCCATACTCAAATGTCACCTTGGACATCTTGGACTTGGGCTTCCCTATTTAACACAGCACCCAAGAGGTACCCCTCTCTCTTTTTTTATCCTGCTTTATTTTTTTTACAGCATTTATAATCCCCATCCTACATGCTCTTCATTTCGTATTTTTATTCTTGTCTTGGACAAGAATGTAAACTTCCATAAAGGAAGGGATATTTGTCAATTTTGTTCCCTACTTTATTTCTGTCATCTAGAAAAGTTCCTGTCACAAAGGAGATGGTCAGGAAATATGACCACTTCTTGGGGTTCTTTAGGAAAAGTCTTTGTGGTGAGAAGACAAGATGCAGATGATGTTGGTCATTGAATCCACTTTCATTTTCTCTCTATCCTTAGAGAATTTGCAGACTACCACAAAGTGACTCACCCATTTAAGGAGGCAGACTATATGTTTAACTAACAAGACACTAACAATTAAGATTTAAACAGGGTACAGAAATCATTTTTTAAAGACTTAGCTAATTAGATGATAAAATCAGCATGTACAGACCAAGATCAACATCTTTCCAATTGAAATGGACTTTGACATCCAACCAATCTAAGTTCAAATCTTATCTCTACTATCTCCTAACTTTGTGACTTTAGGCATGCTACTTTGCTTACCAGAATTTAATTCTTTAGCTATAATATTAAGGCTTAGAAATATCACAGAGTTTTGAGGATTAAATGAAATAATATATTGAAAGATGCTACTGTGCCAGAATTCAGCTGATTTTGTTTGTTTTTCCATGTTCTTCCACATATTTGGCCTTCTGTTGGGATTTGCTGGGCAGTGATGTCTACCCAGGCATTAGAAAAACAAAAGCAATTCAAACAAAACCATCTCTTATACTTTTCATCAACCTGAGAACTGTGTGGCAAGTAGGTTAGAAATGTCTCTCTCATGTAATATTAATATTCGATTAAGTAGCAAAGTTCAAAAGCCAATCAGCATTATTAGTCAAGAGTGTTGACTTTCTTTCTCTGTTTCAAGAGCATTCATAGAAACACCCAATGGCACTGCCTCACAAATTGTTAAAATTGCACTTAATAAAATATACCGTACCATGTTGACATAATTGGCCATTTCAAACACCCTCTTTCTTATTTCCTCTGGATCTTGATTGTACTTTTTAAACTAAAAACAAACAAAACAAAACAAAAAAAAAAAAACAACAAAAAAAAACAAGACAAGATACAGGCATTGATAGAAATGAATATAATTAGAAGGTGAAAAAAAGAAACTTCAGGTTATTTTGCTTATCGGTGGTTATAATTACAATCAGTTATAAAAGATAACAGTTAAAAGGCACAAAATGCTTCCTTATTTCTTTAGCTAAATTAAAGTACTTCTGGAGTAGAGATAACGTTTTGCATCTAAAGTAGTAGCTCGGTGTAAATCTCTAAGGAATTATTCCAAATATATTTCCACTTAAATACCATGGTTTCATAAGCTGTGCAGATTCAGTACAAGGAATATGCTATTCATTAAAAAATATACATATGAATAGTAAATAGTAAATTAATTTAGTATAACGAGAAGCCAAGCTTTATGACCTAAACAACTTAACTTAGATTATCACAGCACAAAATTTCTCCTTGTGGGATCACACATGTGAACCTCAGGTTTCCAATATATAAAAATGAATTCTTGCAAAAGAATATAAACAATAAATATTACCCCCCAAAAGTGTCCTTTTTTTCAGAAGATTCCATTCGTTAATCCTATACATTTACCACTTTCTGATGAGTATAAATTCTAACTTACCAATGATTTAACTGCTTAATGAAAGACAAAATAACAAAGGAATTTAATTGGAAACTAAGTTTGGAGACAATAATAAAGGATAAAGTGCAAAGAATTCACTTTATACATATCATATCAGGTGTACATTCCTGAAAAGGAGAAGTCATATCACTCTAATTCAATGTCAAATTTCCTAGGATCAGAACAATTCATAAAAAGCAATAGTTCATATTCATGATTTTTTAAAATCCATATATTTAATATTTCATGTAACAAATTTATACAGAAGGAGATTTTAAAAGAGATGTGTATCTGATATAATTACCTCACCATTATCCAGGACCAAATAATACTCTATGTATTTCTTATGTTCCCGACCCTTCCGGTCCTCTGATTTCTATAATAAATATAAAAAGGAAAATTAATGAGACAACATCATTCTCTGCAAGAATCATTCTTCTACTTGAAATGTGTAATTTAATAAGGGAAGGGTTGATATCTGACAATAAAGGAAGAAAATATTACCATTGTAACTCTAACTAACCAACCAGAATTATCTATAGATGATGCTCAGAATACCAGAGCTAGGAAGGATATCAGTGATATTCTAGTCTGACCCCTTCATTTTGCCAGAATTTAAATGGTTGCACAACTAACTAATAAGTGTGCCGGAACTAAAACCAAAGTCTTTGGATTTTCTTGAACAATGGACTCTTTCCATTCTCCTGCCCTGAAATAGAGAAACTCTGACTTCAGCAATTTCCCAGTGTTTTCTGGTTGCTTTTGTTTTTAAGTAGCTCTTCATTCCTCTCCCAGTGAATACCTCCTTCCTTAGCAATGGTGCAATGCCCAGAGCTACCTTGGCACCTAGTCGGCTCTTTTCTTTTTGTTTACTTTTGAATTTTTGAGAGAGACAGACAGACAGACAGATAGGGGAGGAGCAGAGAGAGAGGGAGACAGAATCTGAAGCAGGCTCCAGTCTCTGAGCTGTCAGCACAGAGCCTGACACAGGGCAGGGCTTGTACTCATGAATCAGGAGATGGTGACCTGAGCAGAAATTGGAGGCTCAACCAACCTAGCTACGTGGGTGCCCCGGTGCCTCTCTGCTCTCTTCTCCTTAGGCAGAACTAGATCTCTTTCCCACATTCCAAGCTTCCCTATTTTCTGTTCCTTTTTCTCCACTAAACAAGGAGAACAAAAGACTAATTTCATGGTGGATTGTTCCATTGAAAAGTAGCAGATACATTATTCATACTAAACCATAAACTATCAAGGTTTATTATGTTGCATTTCAGGAAGTGCTTGTTTTTAACAGGTAAATAAGCTTCCATTAGCAAGACTTTCAGGTGTCATCTAATAAGCCTAATATGGATGGGCCCTCCACAGGATGGGCATATTCATCTAGCACCTGACCGCACCACTAGTCTTGTGGGCACTAGGCATCCGGCAGTGAAACAGACATAGTCCATGGGCTTAAGGAGCTCCCAGTAGACAAACAGGCATAGGGATATCAGGTGAGAATTTTAGTGCTATTCAAAGGATTAAATGGAGTGATGTGACACTGAGTGACAAGGTAGTTATTTCAGAATATATGGTTAGTTCTAAAGAGTTGGTCATGTACAGACATATTAATGAAAATGAAAAACCAGGAAAGGGAAGATACATTGGAAAATAATTCCAGCTGAGAAAAAAAAAAAGTGAACAGGAAGACTCTAAAGTGAATTGATACTGGCATGTTTAAAGCACAGAAAGAAAAGTTTGTGTTTGTCAGAATATAATGGGGGAGGTCATCGGTGGGTGGCGAGAAGAAGGTAGGTGAGATTACAGAGGGAAATGGGGCCCTAACCAGACAGAGGTTTGTAACTCCTGTTACCCCTCCTGTGTTTGACCACTAAATATTAGAGGCTGTCATAAAAGCTCAACCCTTTACTTGATCCAGGCAATCTTCCTGGGTACTTACAATGTTGTACTATATTCTACTGCCATGACCTTCAAATTATGTGGCATTCGTAACTTTTTTATGTGTTCACCTTATTTAAATAGGAACCCTGCACTAATTACTATCAAATGTATATCTCCAGTCTTGGCCTCTTCTCTAAAGGCCAGACTCGTATAATTAACTACTTCATGTATCCATTTAAATGTCTAATACCACACACTTAATGTGGTCAAATTTAAAACTACCGATTCCCAAACTGCCAGCAAAGCCTGTTTCTCCCTCATCCCCTCTCTCAGTAAACACTACTACCATTCATCATTTGCTCAGGTCAGAGTCTGGAAATAATCCTTGATTCTTCATCCCTAGGAATGGTTCTTCTGGGTTCCTAGATACCATATCACTGGTAGAATTTAAACCCGCAGCAAAATGAACTCAAATTAAACCCAGCAAATTGAGATTTTCTTTTACTCAGACCAATTCTGCTCAGTGCTTATGGATTCTGAAAGCAGTTAGAAGACATGATTCGATATAGTGTCTCCTGAAGGAAATGAAAGCAATTATGACAATGATTTTTACATACACCTATGGTTTCAAACAAGCCATATTCACTTTTCTTCTGTGACCAGAAGCTAAATTCATATATGTAAGAATACCCTCAGTTTTTCTGGACACACTCTGTATTTATTTTTGCTCACTACTACCTCCCCAACACCTAGGGCAGAACTTGAAGAAAGAAATCTGTTGAACGCGTTCATTCATGAAGACAGAAGGTTATTTTACATCAAAGTAATAATACTTTAGACCTTTCTTGAATGTTGTAGTATTGGCAAAGTTGACAAGCATTATAAGCATACTTTGTTTTAACCCTTATGCATCATCATTAATAATAGTTGATCCACGAATACATATGAAATAAATCATCAACTTACCACAAGATTTTAGGGTATCTATGGTGTAAGTTAGTGCTACTAGTTCAACAATGACTATAAAGTTTCCATTAATTGCAATGACTAAGACTGGAAGCCAGGGCAGGCAGGACAAGATAAATGAGAGTGCTGCAAATAGCAAATAAAAGCATGCGTACCACCAGACTGGTGGCAGGTGGAACCTCATTCTGCCGAGATCCATGTGCCCATAATATGTCATCCATCCCGCAGGTGCTGTTAGCCTTCTTTTCCTCGGGGTCATACTTGAAGAGCGCATGTTCCTGTGCATCCTGATTTGTGGGGCTTAAAGGCTCAATGAAGTACTTTTGATCTCCCTGACTGAAGTAGCCCCTGGAAAACACGAGAATCCAGGCTTCTTAGAAAATATTCCTGCTTTTGAGCGCTATAGACTTAGAGTTTGCAAAAGGTTACCGATGCCACATCATTTCAAGTTCACGGCAGTAGAATAAAGTGTAACACTGCAGCTGAAGATACACTTAGAGACGACCTAACCTTATTTTTTTTCTATGATGAAATGAGGCCCGTTGGAGAGAAGTGGCTACTGTCATGTCGCATAGCTCACCTGTGTCAGAGTTGACACCAGAAGGGAAATTTCCTGATTCTCACCCAATGTTCTTCCAATTCTCATGCCTTTTCTGCTCTAAAGAAGCCTGCAAATGAAGACTTAAGAGTCCTATCAATAAGGATTAAAAATCTGGGTCTATAACTTAATAGCTGTGATATCATGGGGAAATTACCTAAATTCACGCAGCCTCAGTTTCTTCTTTTACAAAATGAAAGTAATACCCACCTATTAGAATGACTGTAAGGATTGAAGGATGTAATATATAAAGCACTTGATCAACAAATATTATCAATTTTCTTATGAATTATCTGAGCAGGAGCCCCAAGCTAAGATTCATTTCACCATGAAGGTGATTTCCCATGATTCATTAGTCATTGGATGAAGGGCAGACAGTAAGAAAAAAGAAGAATTGTGGTTTCTCCTCTCATGGAGCTTATAGTCAACCAAGGAAGATGGATATGGATCAAAAAGCTACACTTAACCCATAAGTACATATAATTATATGTAATATTCATAATTACAGATAGTTGCTATGAAGAAAAAGCATAAGAATATATAGCAAAGAGACTGGATTAAGTGTACATAGAATTAGAAGACAAAGACTAGATGTGAAGAGAGAAGTAGTGGTTTGTTGTGATGATCTTCATGAAGGATCATGGTACCTTGGACTAGGATGTGGCAGTAGAGCGAGAATGTATTGAAAAACGCAGTGAACATTTAGAACATATAATCAATGATGCTTGACAGTGGGTTGAAAATGGGTAGTTGAGAGGCAAGAAATCATTAAGGAACCTAAGCTTCTGGAATGGGCAAGTTGTTGGTTGATTATACCATTCACTGGAAAAACATCAGATTTGGGAGGAAATCATTAGTTTGATTTCAGGTTTATTAAGATTGAGATTTCATTAAGCTATCCGGATATGGAAGAGATAGGGAGATATGAAAGACAAAATTAGATAATCAAGTCTTGGCATCAGAAGAAATGTCTCACTGCAGACAGATGCCTACAGAAGAAAAAGATGTCACAGGCTTGGGTAGGATAACCTGAAGAGAGAGTTTAAAGTAAAGAGAGAAGGTGGAGAAGAGCTTCTTTTCCCTCAAGATTCAGGATCAAAAAAAAAAACAAAAAACAAAACTCTTATGTTTTGAAAACAAGCAGACAAACACACACACTTCGGCAAGAATTCAAATGTGTATTTTACTAATCACTATCAAATTTCAAAGTTCTTGAGCCCTTAGGATTCATACTTAGCTACAGTATAACTCATTATATTTGAGATTTTTCAGCTTTATTAAAACACACAAACTTACCCATCACCGCAGATATACACAAACCATTCGCGAAGCCGTACCTTAGACCCCTACACGTGCTAATGCTAGCATCAGAAACTTTTTCATTAATGACATATCCTTGGTAATAACAGTCATCCTAAAAAAGAAAAAAGAGGGTTTTGTATGTGTATTCTTAGATCCACTTCTATATCTGAATTTGAAATCTGGAAATAAGGTCTATAATAGTTTTAAATCATTTTATGCTGAACAACAGTCAACTTTGAGACATAAAAAATGGTTAAGAAGCTTTTTATGGTGGGGCGCCTGGGTGGCTTAGTCGGTTAAGCATCCGACTTTCGCTTAGGTTATGATCTCGTGGTTCGTGGGTTCGAGCCCCGCGTCGGGCTCTGTGCTGACTGCCAGCTCAGAGCCTGGAGCCTGCTTCAGATTCTGTGTCTCCCTCTCTCTCTGACCCTCCCCTGCTCATGCTGTCTCTCTCTCTCTCTCTCTCTCTCCTACAAATAAATAAAACATTAAAAAAAAAAAAGAAGCTTTTTATGGTTAAAATCTTTAATATTTAGTTAATGAGCCCATTGCTTAAAGAGCATTTACTAAATGTTGGTGTAAATATGACTCTTGCAGAAAAAGGATAAGAGGGGTGAACACAGTTTGGAAGAAACAAACATATAGATGTAAATTGAAAACCCAAGCCCCTATAACATCAAACATTTTTTTTCCCCTTGGTTGATTGCTCATTAACTTTTTTCTAACACCTACAAGCTCTTACCAATGAGCGGATTTTCCAGACTGTGTTGTTATTTCTTGATTTATTCAAAAACTTTCAGCCGACTAACTGGATTAGTATGGCATCTCTCCATTTGGAAATGCCCAATTCTAGCACTTTTCCATATGGATGTAGCTTAATCAAGACACCTTTCTGCTTTGGGACAGATGAGTATTGGCCCACATAAATGGCTGTGCCATCACTATGAGGAGAATGAGTGAAAACCTTCCAATAGAAAAATGGAGCTCAGAAAAGATGGCAATGGTAAAATGCCCCTCACACTACTTAATACAGCTGTCTTCTCTAAATAAGAGTTAAGAATAAAAATTATTTACAAAAACCAGAATTCTACAGTTCTGTCATAGAGGAAATAGTCAAGTTCTACAGACTATACAATTGAATGAGATAATTGGCATTGACTAAGAACACAAGATGTAGGAGCACCTGGGTACTTCAGTTGATTGATTGTCAGACTCTTGATTTTGGCTCAGGTCATGACCCCAGGGTTGTGGAATCCAGCCCTATGTTGGGCTCTGGACTGAGCATGGAGTCTCCTTGGAATTTTCTTTCTCTCCCTCTGCCCCTCCCCCCTGCTATCTCTCTAAAAACAAAACAAAACAAAATAAAGTAAAATAAATGGAAAAAGAAAAGAACACAAGATGTATTCTATTTTTCACTCTTCTGATGAAGATGAGAGACTCCTGCCTACCCTCCTATAGGGAGCCTCTGAAGGCTGGAAAGGGTTACCATGTTTGTCAAGAAATGCCTTTGTTCTTGTCAAACTGTACAAATATTGGAGGATCTATTAAGAAATTACTACCACTGGAAAAAGCACCAATGTCGTAAACGCTTTCACTTTCACTGTTTGTATGGCAATGACACTGCCTTTGGGTGTGTGTGTGAGTCACACACTGATTGACAATGAATCTGAGATACTCTATTTTACCATGATCTGTGGGCTCGTGGTGACCTCCCCTCCAGTGGAATTATAATGTGTTTCTGTGTAACCTGGTGCAAGGAGACCCCTGAAAAAAAAAAGAAAAAAGATTCATGATTACTCATGCTAATTGAAAAGTCTGGTGATAAGGGGTGCCTAGGTGGCTCAGTCTGTTGAGCATCCAACTTCTGCTCAGGTCATGACTCACCGTCATGGGTTTCCAGCCCCATGTCGGGCTCTGTGCTGACAGCTCAGAGCCTGGAGCCTGCTTCAGATTCTGAGTCTACCTTTCTCTCTGCCCGTCCCCTGCTCACATATCTCTCTCTCCCTCTCTCTCTCTCTCTCTGTCTCTCTCTCCTTCTCAAAAATAAATAAACATTAAAAAATTTTTTAAAACAGTCCAGTGATCAAAGTGAAAGCTTTCACTGGATGTGCAGGAAAGTTCTAGCTCCTGAGCCCCTCCTCCTAATCCCTCAAAACAAGCATGAAGACAGAGAGGGATTAGGAGGGATAGTCCTGAGTAGCCTGGAACGGTATCTGCTTTTTCATCAGACTGTCATACTTATTTGAGGGGAGATAAATTTCCATTTCAAAATGAAACTGAGCAGGGTAGAGTTGATAAAAATGACTGAAAAGAGCAGTGCTCCTCACCAGTTTACGGTAACTACATTTTCACCCACCCAGTCCTTTTCAGTTCCCAGTGACGGCTAACAACTGTAGCAGTAAAAAGTCTTCTGGGAACTGACCTGAATTTGATATGTAGGGCCCTTCCAGCATTTTCGCCGAGCTTCTTAGAATTCTTTCAATTACCCACCAGCACAAAAGAGGCTGGATATACTTTTTAAAGAGGCAGGGTGGGAAGAAAAGGAAGTAACTAGTATGTGTTCAATGCCATCTTTATACCAGCTACTGAGTTACACACTGTACATGGATCATTCATTTTATCCTTTCTGAAATCTTACATAGTAAATATGATTCACCCTATTTTTCAGATGAGATTACACAGTTTGAGTGGCAAAGGATCCTATAGGTGGGCTTAAAGTCCACACCTTTACTATTTCTATTCTACCACATGGTTTCCAAATTCCAGTCCATTGTGAATATTTGCAAAAGGCAGTAGTCTATGTGAGTGAAAAAATCTTGCCGTACTCTATAGAATAGTTTAAGGATTGAAAGAGCTTCAAAGCACAGAATTAGGTGGGAAAACTACATTTGATATATAGTCAAGATGTAGGATAATCAAGATCTGAGCAAAAGCAGAGGCTGTGAAATTTGAAAGAAATGTTGCCTGTGGCTTCATGAAGAGAATGAAGGAACAAGAGGACAATGTAATGTGTGAGAAAGTGGGGGGAGGGGGGAGTGTGTAGCTGGGTGGAAAGAGCACTGGTGTTAGAATCAGGGGAGCCCAATTCTGGTTTTACCACTGACTTGTTCTTTGGTCCTAGGGTTAATTTAATTTAGATATGTCTTTTTTGTGTGTGTCCTGATGGAAATGATTTCAAATTGTTTCCAAATCTAATCTTTCAGGGGAGCGACTGGGTGGCTCAGTTGGTTAAGCGCCAGACTCTTGATTTTGGCTCAGGTCATGATCTCAAGGTTCAGAGGATTAAGCCTTGCCGTAAATGCAGAGCCTGCTTAAGATTCTCTCTCTCTCCTTCTCTCTCTGCCCTCCTCAGCTCACATGCGCGCTCTCTCTCTCTCTCAATAAATAAACAAATCTAATCTTTCAGTACTAGAATAATAAAATACAATAATGTCATATAATTTCACTCATGTGAAATCTAAGAGACACAACAGATGAACATAGGGGAAGGAAAGGAAAAATAAGTTACAAACAGACAGGGAGGCAAACAATAAGAGACTCTTAAATACAGAAAACAAACTAAGGGTTGCTGGAGGGGTGTTGAGTGGGGGGATGGCCTAAATGGGTGATGGGCATTAAGGAGGGTACTTGTTGGGCTGAGCGCTAGGTATTGTATGTAAGTGATGAATCACTGAGTTCTACTCCTGAAGCCAATATTACACTGTATGTTAACTAACTTGAATTTCAATAAGTAAATTTAAAATTAAAATAATAAAATAATGTAGAGGAAGATTTAGAAATCTATCTGCCTTTTCACAGAATTTGATAAAATGTATATCTGCTTGTACCTCATTCACTGTGGTTTATAAACACTAATAAACTATTGTTTTACTCAATGTGTTTCCACCACATCAGTAAGAACATATATTTACCCAACCCCTTGGGCCAGTTGAGAGAAAAAGCTTATTACCTGAGGTTTTTGAGAGCCTTAAGTAGAAGCAGACTCATTTAGCACAATTTCTACCTGCTAACTTTTTGTTGGTAAGGAAAATAGGAGAAGTAAAAACACTTACTTGCTTTTTTTCAGGTAAAGCACTGCAATTTTCCCATTGACTGTCATTTCATACTTCAATTCGGTTTCAAATTTTTCCTGCAAAAATGCACAAACATTTACTGGTAGTTATAAATACACACAAATATTCAGTTGGCTGTGTTCCTCTTTTTAATCATTAGCAAACAATGCCTGTTTTCTTTAACAGTAGTCTATATAATAGCAAATATCTGCTTCTGGCCTCTTTTAACAAATCAAACAACTCTGCTGCCTGAATAGACAAATTATCTGAGACCTGTATATCATGCATCTAGCCAGCCAGCCACCCATCCACCCATGCATTTTACAAATATTATTTGAGTATGAGTTATATGCATGACTCTATTGGCTTCTGGAAATTCAACTCTAAGCAAGAAAAATTGACATCAACTGTCAGAAAGCATATAATCTTGTGGAAATATGGACAGTAAAAATGACTTATAGAATAAGAGCCATAAATACAAATGCACTGTAGGGTGTCTAACATCTTAAGGTCAGGAGAGACTTTCTTGAGGAAGTAACGTGTAAGCTGAGATATGAATTAGCCAGGTGAAGCAAGGTGGGGAAGTCATTTGAGAAGAAGAAATAGTATGCACACAGACTCAAAGACCTAGAAGATTCTTACTGATCATTTTTGGTCTGGAGGTCTTCTCAAGGCTAAATGGAGGTTAGGATATAGACAAAACAACAGAAATATGTACTCAAAAGCAGAAAGAAGTCATCAGGAAGAAAATAAAGTCTTAGGAATTCAGAAAGGGAAAATATTACCTCAAGTAAACATTATGTAGAAAAGGAGAACAGTTTAAAATTGAGTTTTTTTTTTTAATATATACAACAGGAGAGAGAGAGGACTGTACAGAAGTATGTTAAAGAAGATGTTATTGGGTACTGAATTCTTATTCTGTTCTATAAAACAGGATTATTGATCGTGGTTACACTCAATATCTAAAAATTCATGGAGGAGTGCCAGGACATTGTTGTTAAAGAGATCTAAATATGGCTGACCAAATAGGACTGAGTGTAGTTTCCTCTGTTGGGCTGCACCTAAGACCACGCTTTTCTTCTTTCTTCCCTCTCCTGGCCACAGCAGTGCCTGAGCTCAGCAAGGGACAATAGTGAGTTTGAGCCTCCAGATCAGGGGGCCTGTGTAGGGATTTGCCATCTCCAAGGTCAAGCATTATGGCCCACATTCCCTTTCAATGATCAATTATGGGAGTCTTCTCTGTAGTCACAAACTCCTGAGTATAATATGTGGATCTAGATGAGGAGGGGCTGCTATAAGCCACCTCGTGTTTATAAATAACAGGAGCTAGGAAAAAAAAAAAAGCCTGGGGGTTGAAAATAAAAGTTAGAGGGAATCATTGTAACCACTTATTATTCAGATTTAAGAAAAACCAGATGGAATTAAAATATTAGGAGGATAGTAGATATAATCTTCTACCCAGAAGAGCCTTCCAGATAGGCATTTCCTGTCAGCAGTGAATTTTTGTGGGTTTTTACCTAAAATTTATTTGGCGGTTGTTTTAGAAAAAATTGTTGCTGGGGCGCCTGGGTGGCTTAGTCGGTTAAGCGTCCGACTTTCGCTTAGGTCATGATCTCGCGGTTCGTGGATTCGAGCCCCACGTGGGGCTCTGTGCTGACTGCCAGCTCAGAGCCTGGAGCCTGTTTCAGAGTCTGTGTCTCCCTCTCTCTCTGACCCTCCCCTGCTCACGCTGTCTCTCTCTCTCTCTCTCTCTCTCTCTCCTAGAAATAAATAAAACATTAAAAAAAAATTGTTGCTTTTGGACTGGAAGTTTTAGCCAACACTAGCATAGAGATTATAGATGAAAGGAAACAGCAAGGAAGAAAACAAGGCTTTATGAAAGAGGGTGCTCTAGGTGATATTATAACTACTATCCAAGTAGAAGTCCATAGTCCAATGCCTGCTAATAAAAAGTGTATCCCACCTGTTTACAACCTGGGTCCTGAACTGCAGGTTAGGAGAGGAAAGATGCACCTTGATTTGGACAGTATCCACTAGATGGAAATTATTTGGAGCCCAATGAGTAAGGTTAGCTGGTCATAGGGACATATAAATAAACACTTCCCCCTGGAAAAATACTATCCATGGGTAAGGTTTAGTGAGTGGATTGAGAAGGCCACCACCCTGAATGTCTCTGGGATGGGAGCAAGAGTATGAAGTCAAGATGATGCCCATGCACACAGCAAATAGCAAAGGAAACCCTAGAAGTCCCAGGAAGGTTTAATGGCAGTATTACAATTGTTGCCATAACATACAGTAATCTGAGGCTTCCAGAAACACTGGTGGACCAAGCTAAGGCCTGAACTTGTTCCCAATATAAAGAAGGTACTTGCTGTCAGATACTCTATTCTGTGACATGAGCCAACAGCCTGGTAGTTTTGGCCTCTAAGGAAGCGTGTGTGCTCTATAGGCAGAATCCTGAGAAGACAGAGATTACCTTTGAATGTTAAGTTCCTAACATCAGGGACCTTAATTAAATACTTACTGAATACATTTCTATGCAGATATATGGGTAATATATTCCAGTTACAGTAAGTCATTCATTTGTCCATTTGTTCATTTGCTTATTTATTCATTTGCTCATTTATTCAACAAATACTTATTGAGTTTTTCTTAAACCATGCATATAACCAAAAATATAATAACGAAAAAACATAGAAGTTTGTACTCTGGCCTTGAGTATTCTCTCCAGAAAATTTTTCAAAGGACTATTTCATGATGCCAGGCATGATGAAGTCAGAGAGTAGGGCCATGCTCTTGGCACAGCTGACAGGTAAAGCCAGTGCCTCTGTTCTCTGGACCAGCAGAGGGTTAAATTGATTAATAATAAGTATATTGTTAATAGTGCTGCTACAAACATTGGGATACATGTGCCCCTATGAATCAGCACTCCTGTATCCTTTGGATAAATCAACAATAGCCAAATTATGGAAAGAGTCCAGATGTCCATCAACTTATGAATGGGTAAAGATGTGGTATATATACACAATGGAAAACTTCTTGGCAATGAAAAAGGATGAAATCTTGCCATTTTCAACAATGTGGATGGGCATGGAGGGTATTATGCTAAGTGAAATAAGCCAGTCAGAAAAAGACAGATATCATATGTTTTTATTCATATGTGGAATTTGAGAAACTTAAAGGAAGACCATAGGGGAAGGGAAGGAAAAATAAGTTAACAGAGAGGAAGGCAAACCATAAAAGACTCTTATACAGAGAACAAACTGAGAGTTGATGGGGGTACGAGATTGGGGGAGTAGAGAAAATGAGTAATGGGTATTGAAAAGGGCACTAGTTGGGATGAGCACTGGGTGTTGTGTGTAAGTTGGAGATCTACTCCCAAAGCCAAGACTACACTGCATACCCTGTATGTTAGCTAACGTGACAATAAATTATTTTTTAAAAATAAAAAAATAATAATAAATATACAAGTCCTCTTCTTCTCTGCTTAGAGGAGTGATTAATTTTTGACTGAGACCATATATAACATCTACAGCATGTAGAAATCCCTTCTGTCACATGCACTCCAAATTCTAGATATTTCTAATGATTGCTAATCAGTTCTTTGTACAAGGAGGACCAATCATCTCAACCCAGAAGCCAAGGGGATAACTTTGGAGAACTTGGCCTATTTATATAAGACAATGTTCTTATTGGCCATAAGCTATATGTGAGCAAAAAAAGAAGATTCTATGTCAGGGAAAAGAATGTGCCTGCTGCATGTTAGAAAGACCAGGAGGCCCTGGCTTCTCTTGTGAGACAAGTGTGACATGGCAGAGCTCAGCAAGCCTGACGGGGCAGGACTGAGACATCAGGCATGCAGCAGCATGAGACCTTACATTTGTAGACAGAACACATTTATAGGGATGTGACAAAAAGCCACATGGTATGATGGCCACCTAAAATGCAGGACATCAGTTAAACCTGAATTCCAGATAAAGTGAATAATTCTTAAATACAAGCATGACCCATACAATATTGGAGATCACTTATACTAAAAAAAATTAAAATAAAAAGCATTCATTGTTTATCTGACATCCAATTTTAACTGGGCGTCCTGTATTTTTATTTGCTAGAATCTGGAGATTCTACATACACGGTAAGAATGAATGCTAGACATCTGTGACGAGGGAAAGGAGGTGAAATTCTGAAATATCAGAGGATGGGAAACACTGGCGGGGAAAAGCAGATGAGTGCTTTGGAATCTTTCTTTAGCCAGGAATTGCTTTTATCAATGGTTTGATCACATTCTTGCTGAGTGATTCTTCAAAGGCATCAACCAGCCCCTGAGAATATCGGTGCTAGTTGAATAATACTAAAAGGTAAACATGATTGAGTTACATGTACTTGTGAGGTGGATGGAAACATTCAGGGCTCACCCTGCTACATTCTTCATGGCTAATGACATGTTACCTCCTACTGTCTACAACTGAAGGCAGCAAGGAGAATCTTGCAAATATACTACACGAAACGACAAAAATAAAATAAAATTTGCCATATAAAGAAACATTAAAGCATTCAAATCATTTAGGCATATTTCCCTTCGATTCTCTGTGGAATTTGGCGTAATGTTTTTATTTCCTCCAAAAGTTAAGATTGATATGTTCTGTGAGATTTCTTTGAATTGATGAACATTTATGCAATATCTTCCACAGGACAGAGGTTGAGAGGTAAGGATGAAGGAGGGCAGAGGCAAGTTAAGGATATAAAATACACTTATTTTATTGACCTGGGTAGCTTCAACACAGACGAGAAGATTAAACTTACTCTCACAGACACGTGACAGACACACGTCACACACACACACACACACACACACACACACACCATAACAATACTGAAATCAATATTATAAGAAAATCAAGAACCAAATGGTATAACATGGACTATTCCTGAAGTATGACTCCAGGGAAAGGATCTGTCAGTACATACACAAATATTCCATGCTGACTTTACAAAGAATATAAAATGGATGGAGAGTTACATAGAGAGAGAACATGTTAAATAGGGGGAAAAAATCCATGAGAAAGAGCAGAGAGATAAGAAACAAGCATATTATTAAGAAAGGCCTTGAGATTACCAAAGCTGACTAAAAAGGAGGTTGTGTTGAGAAGCAGAAAGGAAACAAAATGGCTTAATAAACTATTACATTAAGTAAAAGAATCATGATGATTAGTCAGAAGTAGAAGGTGACGAATTATATAGAACAGTGTGATCGTATAATCCTGAGCATGGGGTTAATAATTGCATCCTGCTTTGCTTTCTACATAAGTTTTCTCCAAATAGCTATATAAGATAAGCATTACTATTATTATCTCAATTTTGAGATGTAAACATTAAAGTTCATCACTATCTAAATTAATAGAGAACATTAACAAAGTTAAGATGTGGATATAAACAAGCCTTCTGAATTCAGATCCTTTACACTTTCACTATGAATCAGGAAAAGATAAAACTTATTCTAGTGAATCGAATTGTGGACTAGATAAAGAATGTATTTGCAATAAATATCAAGTACATCTACTCAATTCTTCCAAAAATTAAGATTGATCATTTAGTAGGTACAAACAATTATTCTATAGTTTTCCATCAAAATAAATTGTTCAAAAGCCTAAATTTGTTTTATAAGGAATTCACTTTAAAACACTGGACATGTATTAAGTTTCCTCAAAATATTCAGGGAATGTTTTGCATTTTTAAAAGAATACTGGAAAGCATTTGAATTTCTTCATACTGATGAGTAATCCAGTGCATATAGGCCCCATTTAAATTTGACAGAAACATTTTGTTGAGAGAGAATAATTTCGATAAACAGGGTCTCCTATGGGTTCTACTATTATAAACAAGTTTGCTTTAGAAGAAATCATCTGTGGGGAAGCTTATCCAGTGGGGGGTGGGGGGGGGCGAGGAGGGGATGTAGTCCCAGTGAGTTGCATCTTACAATATTTTTACAAGTTATTATTTATGTCTCATTTATTTGTATTTTTCCTGTCTCCCAGCAGAAGACTTCTGAGTGCAGGTGATGAGAAAACTATTGAATGGATCATCATGTTTTAGCTTTCATCTTTTGACTAAGACTGTGTTGTTTCATTAAGTAGTAAGAACTATACAAACTTTAATAACTTTCTCTTTAGAAAAGACAACGGTAAATTTCATGTTTCATTACAGTAATTCATCTTAACTTAATATGTGTATATATATATATTAATTGATCCACAATATTATATTTTCTACTTCAGTTTTAATGTTCCTGGTTTTGTTTATACATGAGTATGTAGATATACAGATGATCAATAAGTAGATAATAGATAGATTAAGTAAGTTGTATCTAATTTCTTTGGAAATACACAGAATTAGAAATTATCATAAAAGTATTAAAGTTTACTCTCTGTGTGATCTTGGACAGTTTTATTTCAACCATCAGAACCTTAATCTGCAAAATGAGTCTTATAATAGAACCCTAGGTTATTGTGAAGATTAATAAAAATAATATAGCTCAAATAACAAATGAAAATGTCTACATATAAATATGTGTATATATTTATATATAGTTATATATCTATATATATACCATATGTAAGTATATGTATTTTTTTTTTTAAGATTCAATGTTAAGTCAAAAGATGTACCTCTTGTGCTGTCTCCTTGACCTCTCTTTTATGTAGTGAATGAAGTCTTCTGGGATAAACCACTTCATAATTCTTTACTCCAGAGAGTTCTTTTATAGCATTTACTGAGGAAGGGGAAAAAGGTAAGAGAAGATTTAGTGAAGCAGAACAAATAAACAAGCTGGTTGGTAATAATGAGCTTTACTGCATTTCTGCAATAATGTCACATACAGAGGCTTAACTGAGTTTTACATCAGAGTGACTTAAGAGTAGAGATAGAGAAAATCAGAAACCCACTCTTCCTCTCAAATCTTTAACGTATATCTTCACATACATCCCCACTGAAAGCCTAAAAGTATTTCTCTATTCTGTGAAAATATTTCTTTTGGATTTTTCCATTTCTCTTCACTACCTTGAATCATCTGTAGAGGAACAGAGCAAGCAGTACAGGCAATAGCCAGTACAGGAAAACAGAAACCAAACTATTCTTTAAGATGCTAATCAATGTCAGCATAATTGAGTAGAAAGAAGTACTCTGAAAACTATACAGTGTTACAAAAATGAAATCGATAATGTATGTCGTTTCTGATTCCAATATTTTTTTGTATTTTCCTGTAGCAATATTTTACATTAGTGAAGAAAACCATGACACAGTAATAAAGCTCCAATACCAGCACCATAGAATGCTTGGCTTTTGCAATACAGGTACGTTCAATTTTGCACACAAAGCAGGAAAAGAATAAAAATTAGAGAAGCAAACAATTACAACACTATTACTGGCATGGAAGGAAACTTTGAGCCTGGAGTCACACTGAAAGACAATTGAACAGTTATCTCATCCAACCTTATATCTACATGTTGAATTCTCATCTCAGCATTGTTTCTACAAGTTATTTTTGAGATGAATTCAGTTTTCCCAAAACTAACACTGAATTTTCTATTTTCTTTTTTAATTTCCCCACTCAATCAAGGCCTTCCTCTGTGTAGAATAGTGAGTGTCTAAACAAATGTCAGTAGATCAGCTCTTGGGTTTCTGAAGGGGCTATTGGTCTATCCAGAATATAGATGCAGTAGGAACCAAAAATCAGAGTATGGGCCCAGGCTGGCAATTTACGAACACTGTGGGCTGGATGGGCTTTAGTTCTCTGTGTAATGACTAGAGTGCTCTCTAAAGATAATCCAATGTATTAAAGTACTCAAACCTAAATTCTATGGTAATATAAATTTATATTATTTTTGATCTTTTAACAAATAACACTGGGGCTCCTGAGTGGCTCAGTCGGTTGAGCATCTGACTTCGGCTCAGGTCATGATCTTGCCATCTGTGAGTTTGAGCCCCGGGTCATCTGTGCTGAGCTGTCAGCACAGAGCCTGGATCCTGCTTGAGATTCTGTGTCTTCCTCTCTCTCTGCCCACACTTAGGCTCATGCTCTGTCTCTCTCTGTCTCAAAAATAAATAAACATTAAAAAAAACCAGTATTTTCTGTTAGTCATCTTGGATGACTTTTACACTTATTCCAATGATGCACTAGAGAATATTTTTTTTAATGTTCTTTAGAAACTAAAACAGAAACTGTAATTTTTTTAATGTTTATTTATTTTTGAGACAGAGACAGGGCACGAGCAGGGGAGGAACAGCGAGAGAGAGGGACAGAATCCAGGCTCTGAGGAGAAGAGAGGCAGGCTCCAGGCTCTGAGTTGTCAGCAGAGTCTAACACAGGGCTCAAACTCACAGACTGTCAGATCATGACCTGAGCAGAAGTTGCTCAACTGACTGAGTCACCAAGGTGCCCGTAAATCAGAAACTTTAAAAAATTCCTAGTTCTGTCCATTTTCTTTTATCATTTTAGGATACACTTGACCACTTAAGAGCCATTTACATCTAACTTTGAAGAATAGTAATAGTAATCCAATTGGCTAAAGACTCATTAGGTAAAAATGGGCCATTAAAGGTATTCAATAGCCTTTTTTTAAATGACTTGATATTTACTCTTAAAAACATTTCAAAAAGATTTAAAATCATGGAATCAACCCTAAAAAGCTGGGACTTTGGGTTTGGTTCTAATTTTTTAATTGTTTGAAAAGACAGAAGATTAAATGATCTTTAAGGATAGTTCATGTAGTCTACGGTTTTATGCAAATAAATATAGAATTCCTTGTAATCTTTTTGAGAGATGATGATAATTTGGATAAAGTTGTAATTGGTTTTGGTAAAATAAGTCTCATTACATAGACAGGACTTCAAGAGCTACCTAAGATACCTCAAGAACTTCTTGCTATTGCAGAGATAATCACTGGGCATTTTTATTTCTACTTAATTAATTTTTGTAAAGGAAAATAATAATATTATTTATTAAAACAATTTACAACAGAAATTAAAAAGCCTAAAGGAACATTAAACCGATCATTTTCTTAATGTTGAGTTGAAATTTTCATAATTATCATAATTATTTCAAAATAACGAGATGCCAAGAGGTTAAGAAAATTACTCTTGCCACAAATTAACCGATGGTATTGACCCAATTCCCTGAAGCTTCTTGTATACCTGTAACACCAAACAAACATACCATAAGGCAACCACATGTTACCTAGTGGATTATGTCCTATCAGTGCAATTAGTCCCATTAGTATGGAGTTCATGAAGCCATATATTCAACCAATGTGCAACCACAGTAACTCTTCTAAAAATGCTGTTTGAAAATTGGTTTTCATCCATAATACACTATTCTGAGAGTAAATATTAGCCCAAGTTGCCCTTAGGACATTAAAATAATAACTATCCAACTGATTCTTTTTATAAAAACAAAAAATGATAGCACACACACATCCTCCTTTCAGAAGGGGTGAGGGAAACAGGCCATTCGACCAGTGCAAGCTTTCTTGACATACACACTCATCTCCATGCTCTAGTTCATATCTAAATCTTAATATTTCATGAAATCAGAAATTACCAATTGACTTAAATATGAAGTCAAATATGTACATTAGCAGAGAAATTTACTTCCAGCTCTTTGATGGCTGCACATTTCCAAACGGCAAATAAAATATATCAACAAATAAACCAGAATACTTTTTAAAAAGCCTCTGGCAGGACGCCTAAGTATCTCAGTCAGTTAAGCGTCTGACTTTGGCTCAGGTCATGATCTCACCGCTTGTGGGTTCGAGCCCCGCGTTGGGCTCTGTGTGGACAGCTCAGAGCCTGGAGCCTGCTTCAGATTCTGTGTCTCCCTCTCTCTCTGCCCCTCCCCACTTGCATTCTATCTCTCTCTCAAAAATGAATAAGTGTTTAAAAAAATTAAATAAAAATAAAATTAAAATTAAATTAAAATTAAAATTAAATAAAAATAAAAGCCTCTGGAACCTCTCGCTTTCTTCAGTTTGAAAACAACAGATTTTCAGCTCTCTCCAAACTCCTGCAACAGTTTCTACAGGAAACAGAATTTCTCCTAATGGCTCTTATTTTTGTGGGATCAAGAAGGCCCCTGAAAGAATGAGATTCAAATTATAACAGATCACACAGCAGTTAGAGATACACAACAGATCTAAATATTGTTTGGCTCAATCTTCCTTAAGGTTGATGGAAATGACGCAGCCTCCTCCCAGCTGAATAACATCAGGCTAATTATTTGGAAGCCTGTGGAACAAACACAACTGCCATCTAGGGATTAGACAAATCCAAGATGTAACACAATATGCTTCTACTAATTCATTTTAGTACTTGCTTTCTCCCTCTCCCACAGAACTCACATGCTGGATTACTTCTGACTCGCAAAACTTGATCAAGAAAAACTAAAACTATTATTTTGGATTGCGTTAGATAATTGTTTTACTGTATTTTAGTTTTAGAACAGTTAATACTCATTGGCAAGATGAATACAACAGGCACTGGTCTGGATTGCTACGTTATTTTTTAATGTGTTTGGGGCAATTTTGGAGCTTCACACATTTTTGTACATAATCTTGGCATTTTTGTTTTTGATCAAATCTGTTCCAAATCATTTAAAGAATGTCTTTCCAAACTAAACGCATGATATTAAGCCCTGGATCAGAGTTTATTCAATATTGACCAGATCTGCGCTACTCTGCACACCCTCAAACCCTCTGGTGATTTTAAACTCAGTGTACTAAAAGTGACTACAAACACGGAGGAAAAACACATCCTAATTAAATCTATCATTCTGACTATTAAGATTAAATTATAAATGCTTTTGAGGCTCATCTGGTCACCTTATGAAGATAAGAAAGAATTGCTAATTTGAAACAAAATAATTTTTAAAAGTACTGTACCCTCTGGGTATCCTGTTAAAATATATTAAAGAACTTTCTCTTTTGTCAGTGCACTTACATCTCACCCCCCCCAAACAACTGTCACATCCTTTTAAATATTTGGGTTTTTTCCTATGATGAAATCCTTGAAGTTATTTCTCTCAGGGGATAGTGAAGTGCATACAAACAGCTGGCCTAATTATATTTCACTCTTTTATTTCATGTATAAGGAAAATGGGTACATGTCACAGTCCAAGGTGCACATTTTTTCTTTGGATGGTGGGTGCAGATCAACAAGAAGGAAGAGATGAAAAAATGAGAATTTTTTTTTTATTTTTTACATTCTGTCTGGGAAATAAATCTATGTAGGAATAATATCAGTGGGAATAATACTACCAAGGAGATAGTTTTGAAAATACAAGATGGAAGGTAAAGAGAGGGGGCAGCTTTCTGTTCAAGACAGAAGATGAGGGGGTAATTGTCGGTCACCCTGTTCTCACAAAAGATACTGCAGAACCTCTGTCCCCACCTCCAAATACTTGAAGATGTCACAGCTTTAGGCATGGTTTCTAAGGGAGTTGTCTCTTGGTGCCAAGCTGTGAATGCAAAGAAGGGGGAAGAGAATCAGCTGGTATGCCCAATTGTAATGCAAAGCCTGTCATGTGGGTGGACTCCAAGCTTAGCTGTTAATGGATCCTGCTTGATCTTTAATCAGTCCAATAAAGCTAGTTCCCAAGCAATTCTTATGTTCCAACCAAGTGAGGGCTCCCAAAGAATGTTTAGGGATAGCACTTTTGGAGAATGCAGGGAAAGATTTTTATTAAGTTTGACTCCCAAAGTAGACATTTAAGCCAATAACTTAAGTGCCTAGTACAGTTCCATATTTAATGATATTAAGTAAAACTTTTACAAGCTTGAAAAACAAGTCAGAAACACTGGGGAGGAGAGAGGGAGGAATTACTTTTAGTGACAAAGTAGGGAGAGAGTGCAAGAGAGAAGAGAATCTTTCCCTCCCTAGCCAATTCTTGTTGGTGATCTGTTCCCATTCCTACATCTCTGCAAGCACTCTAAAACCCAAGAAAAGATGGACTAGGAAGGATTTCCACGCAGCTAAGCTAATGTGGTGACTTGAATAAGCTCTAGAAATAGAAATAAGTTAAGGAAATGGGTTACCCAATCTAATTTAACCACCATCTAATTGGTGAATTTCTCAGAAATGGAGAGACATGCTAGAAGTGATTTATCATTGGGAAGTAAAATTTCTCTCCTTTTGAATTCTTAAAATGTTTGATAACCAGCAAAATAGAAAGGAAGGATCAATTTAAGTTTAACAGTAACATTGTTTTGATCGGGGGACTAGCGCAATGCTTTATAAATATCAAGCTGGTCAACTACTGATTCCTAATTAGTCATATTTATTATCACCAGTAATGGCAAGACTAAACATAAAAATGTGCACTCAAAAGGAACAGTGCAAGCCAAGCTGGTCCCTATAATAACAGCAGATACTTTCTGAAAGCCTCGTGCTTAGCAGTAGCTAGTCAGATCCACTACATCTTTACCACTCTCAAAATGACAAGTGGGATTTGACGAACTCCACTTGTTGACTCAAAGATCACATTCTCTGCTTCAGTGAAGCTGTATGAAGTTTTCCCTTTGATAGTTATGTATTCTCAGATCGGAGGTAGGAAGATCTATCCAAGACATCTGTCCTTCCCTCTCCTTTAAAGTGAGGGTTTCCCTCAGTCACAGCCCCCCACACTAAAACCAGCCTAACTGGTTAGTAAAATTGGTTACCAAAAAAAAGCTATTGAGAGAAGCAGAAAAGCAAGCGTCCCCTGGCATATCTAACTGAACCCGAAAAGGAATTAAACACTGACCTGGAACTGGTGAAAGGAGGAGAGTGGCCATCAGAAGAAGCCCCTGGAGCATGTTGGGTGATCCCAGGGGCACAGTGCCTGCCCTTCTCGCTCAAAAGTGCCTGGTCTGTCTGGTCTCAGGTGAGACAGACTGAGACTCCCGGGTTCATTCCTGTCTCTGCTTCAGGAAGTGTTTACTAAAGGTGTTGCACAACCCCGAAGCTGTTGTCCTGTGACAATGGCGCGGCAGGAGGAAGTTCTGGCCTCTTCCTGGCTCTCAGACTCCTTTACCATAAGCTACTGTTTCTCTTTCCCGCCTCCCCACACTCCCCACTGGGAAGTAGTACATTTCCAGTATATTACTATCACCCAAATAGCTAGCTTGGGATAACTGGCTTTGATGGACCTCGGTAAGTGTGCACATTTATTATGTATGTCATAAATATATATACATGTTTATATAGGCATGTGCTATGTTGGCAACAAGTTGTTTCAAATGGTATTCTCCCCTCGCATACATATGGTGTTTCAGGGAAGCAATTTCGAATCCAATACAATTATGACAAAAAATTCTCTTTTCCAGTTATCTTTGTATTCTAGTCTCACATAATGGTGCTCTCAGTGAGCTTGAACCATCCTGAAATAAGAAGGTAGGACAACCCAAGTTTAAGGTTGTTCAGATCCCCAAGGGCATCTTCAGTAACATCACTGACAATCAGGAGTAGGAGAGAGCCTTATAGCCCCGAAGGATATAATTTCCAGAAAAAATACCTTAAGGGGCTGTCATTGGTGGTAGTGAGGCTGAGCGGGCATGTCCAGAGAGTACATGGTATAACTCACTAAATAGCTCATGGTGAGCTCCCCTACTAAGTTCTAGGTCCTGACACTTATGATCGTATTCATTCTTATGACACTTTGGTATGATAAGTGCCATCCTACCTCTATTTTGTTGATTAAAAACTGGGATTTAAAAAAATAAAAGATTCAGGGGCACCTGGGTACCTCAATTGTTTGAGAGTCCAAATCTTGACTTGAGCTCAGGTCATGATCTCACAATTCCTGGATTTGAGCCCCACGTTGGGCTCGGTACTAATGGTGTGGAGCCTGCTTGGGATCCTCTCTCTCTCCGCAGTAACACCCCAACTTTTCAAAATAAATAAACTTTTTTAAAAAGTCACTTTAAAATAAAAAGATAAAAGACTCAAAAGATTAAGACTCAGTTGTCCTCCTTTATATAGTAAATAAGAAAAAGAAGTTTGCCCAGAGACACATGGGTGGCTCAGTCAGTTAAGCATCCCACTCTTGATTTCAGTTCAGGTCATGATCTCAGGGTTCCTGGGTGTGAGCCCCAGGTAGGGCTCTGTCCTCTTGGTATTCTCTCTCTCCCTCTGTCTCTCCCCTGCACTCGCTCTCTCTCACACACACAAAATAAATAAACTTAAAAAAAAAGCTTGTCCAAAGTCATTTATCTAGTAAGTGGCAGAAGTGGAAATTGAACTAAATATTGTCTGAGCTCTTAGTCACACATACTAACAGCTGATTTATACACTCAGTCTTATTTCTATTGAGAAATTATGTATATGTATGTATGTATATATTCCTATAAAATGCATGTTCTATGTGATAATTCTGAGATTATTATTATTAAACCCATTCTTGACCCATTAAAATTAGGCATTATTCTATGGATTCTGAAGCATATGTTTGTAATAGAGTGATTTCAGTGAAAAGGGATTTCTCAAAATGCCATTTAGGCAAGCAACAACCACAGGGAATTTTTAAATCTACTTACTGAGCATTTCAGCTGTAGGATTAGGAATCTCCCAGATTCCTTTTCTCTCAATTCAAGTTCTACTGCTTTGTCTTTTTCAGGGTACAGAAAGTTTATACCCACTTTTTAATTATTACATGATTTCCCCTATTAATTCCATGTACATTCATTAGTACCTTTAAGGTGAAAGACTCTGAGATCAAGTTGAAAATGTGGTTACTCCCTCTGAGATGCTTACAGTCTGGTGAGAGAGATAGGCAAGGACATTTCCCATGAAGATGTGCAAAGTGAGTGCTCCCTGTACATCATGATACACTATGCTTCCCGCTAGGAAAGATGCAGGCATGGAGATCAGAGGCTACCCTTAGAAAGTCAAGGAAGATTTCCTGGAGGCAGGAACAATGAGGTCAACAAAAAATTAACAGTGAGAAAAAAATGAGGATGTAATGTCATTCTAGTTTATGGTAATACTTTAGGATTATTGGAGCAAAGAGTACCTGGAGGAATCGGAAGAGATACTGCTAAACATAACAAGTTCATGTCTGGCTTTGTCCCTGTAGGTAACGGGCACCACTGATAGGTTCTAACCAGTGTGGCAATTTACACACTTGCCCGTTTAGGCAGGCAGTACGTTGGAAATGAGAAATGATCTGTCTGCATAGCGATGCGTGTTGGCATTTTTTAACTGGTGATTGCCCTTCAGTTCTCTTTAAATCTGTGGTCACACCATGCCTTTCCAGTTATTATTCCCAGAAGTTTTGGCCAGTCTGCATAGCCTAGAATTATATTTATAGTGCCGTCTAATGTCAAATCATTTATACCAATCTCTAAATGAATTTTATTCTCTATTTTCCTCATTATTTCTTAGAAGATGTATGGAGCAAACATAAAAGTTGAAATTTCTTTTTTTTTTTTAAGCTTATTTATTTTCAAATAGAGAGAGTGAGAATGCATGCATGCATGTGGGGGATGGGGTAAAATAAAAATCCCAAGCAGGCTCTGCACTGTCAGCACAGAGCCAGATGGGGGATCCATCTCACAAACTGACATCATGACCTGAGCTGAAACCAAGAGTCAGATCCTTGACAGACTGAGCCACCCAGGTGCCCCCAAAGTTGGATTTTGACATTTAGTTTAATTTTCCCCTTTGTTTCTTTGTGATAGATATGATGTTACTACTTAATCTTTTATCATCATTATTGGTCAAACTCTTTGCCAGGACAGAAAATAAATGGCAGAAAGAATAGTTGCATGAAGAGCACCTGGGTAGCTCAGTCGGTTGAGCGTCCAACTTTGGCTCAGCTCATGATCTCACAGTTTGTGGGTTCGAGCCCCACGTCGGGCTCTGTGCTGACAGCTAGCTCAGAGCCTGGAGCCTGTTTCAGATTCTGTGTCTCCCTCTTTCTCTCTGATCCTTCCCTGCTCACGCTATGTGTGTGTCTCTCTCTCAGAAATGAATAAAAACACTTAAAAAAAAAAAAAAGAATAGTTACATAAGTGAGCTGCATACATTTCATAATATACCCAATTCGGAGTAATGCCATACAGTGTGAAAAAGCACACACTAGTACTCAGAGACTGTAATAAACTGTATTGATTAATGGTGTCATACATATTTATATATGTATATGTATGATATCTATGATATAGGTATATGTCCTATACACATGCTTGTATTATTCTCTGAGAGAGTGGATTTATGCAGTAAAGCAGGTAAGAAGGAAAATACTAGTTTAGGATGTTTTACATGTAGACAGGATGTGCAGTTGTTAATTAAAAAAAAAAAATTGGTCTGGAACCAAGCTAGAGATCTATTTCAAAGAATAATAGATTACAAGTATTGAGTTTTATATGTGAATTAACATATTTTTATCCCCACAACTTTCTTGTGAACTAGGTAATAATTCTATTATTAGTTTTTAAAAAGAATGCACTAAGATAAAAAGATGTGAAGCAAAACCATGGAGTTATTCTGCAAAAGAAGAAAGTATTAGACCAAAGGAGCATAGCAAAAAGGGGCAGACCTATGTATGCCCATCTACAAGGCCTCTTGCATTCTCTGGCCTATCACAATCTCTAATAAATTTCTGTGGATGAATAAACTTGTATGCTATCTTGAATTATTATTTTATTTATGAAAACGTGTCTCTTCAATTAAATTTCAAAATAGGGATTAAAAACCATGCCATAGTCTTTGCTGTTGATCCCCAGAATCTCATGCATCCCAAATATTTAAAGAATTTTTATTAATCTATTTTTTTGATTTAAATTTTAGCTAACATACAGTGCAGTATTGGTTTCAAGAGTAGAATTCAGTGATTCATCATTGACATATAACACCCAGTGCTCATCACAACAAGTGCCCCCCTGAGTACCCATCACCCATCTAGCCCATCTCCTACCCACTTCCCTCCATCAACCCTCAGTTTGCTTTCTATCATTAAGAGTCTCTTATGGTTTGTTTCCTTCTCTTCCCTTCCCCCCTTCCCATATGCTCATCTGTTTTGTTTCTTAAATTCCACATATGAGTGAAATCATATAATATTTGTCCTTTCTCTTATTTCACTTAGCATAATACATTCTAGCTCCATACATGCCATTGCAAATGGCAAGATTTCATTCTTTTTGATGGCCAAGTAATATTCCATGATAGATAGGTAGATAGATAGATAGATAGATAGATAGATGATATTTTCTTTATCCATTCATCAGTCAATGGACATTTGGGCTCTCTCCATATTTTGGCTATTGTTGACAATGCTGTTATAAACATCGGGGCACATGTCCCTGTTAGAATCTGTATTTTTGTATCATTTGGGTAAATGCCCTACTACTACAATTGCTAGATTATAGGGTAGTTGTATTTTTAGTTTCTTGAAGAACCTCCATACTGTTCTCCAGAGTGGCTGTACCAGTTTGCATTCCCACCAATGGTGTAAGAGGGTTCCCCTTTCTCCGTATCCTCACCAACACCTGCTGTTTCTTGTGTTGTTAATTGTAGCCATTCTGACAGGTATGAGGTAATATCTCATTGTGGTTTTTATTTATGTTAATTACTTTTGCAAAATGTTCTTTCATTACAACAACTATAGGGATCATGAATATCACACGGCATGTGATTCGGGGACATGGTCCCTACTCCTAATGAGTAAACACATGTCACATTATCCCCGAGCCCAGGAGAGAGCTCGTCCAGTGCTATTCCTGCTCTACACACACTAATTTATAACAATTCTATAGACTGAAATTGCAGTCACCTTGCAAGGGATTCCCAATTATTAATCTACAGAAATTCTGTTTTTCTAGTAGCATGATTGGGTATTTTTGTTCAGAAAAAAATTAGTTTTTCCAAACTTACATTGCAAGATATCAGAATAGAGATGACTACTACTACTAAA